GTTCCGTCACAGCGGAGTATTTGCAGAGTATTTGCGGGCGGATAGTTTTGAAAGCTCAACGGGTCCCCCGCGGGTCTAAAATATCATCAACGGGTCCCCCGCGGGGCGGAGTATCTGCGGGTCCCCACGGGTAGCGGAGTATTTCTGCGCAGCCTACTGGTGAAAGGAGGAGGATGAAGGGGCAGAAGTAAGTTGCATCTTTAAGCGAACCAATTGATTGAAACGCTTTTCTTTAGGCGCTTTCTCATATCCCCTTCCAATCATAAAACAACATAAATCGCATTTGTTTCTCTTTAGGCATACACCCATATCCCCTTCTCATCATAAACAAACATAAGTAACAATTTTTTCATTAACATCAATTTTATACTCGTAGAACTTATATGTTCTCTCCATCCATCTTGCAATCTCAGCGTGACACGTGAATCGACATCATGTACCGTGTACGATGAACTTTTGCAGAATTAGTGAGTTTTATTAGGCTTTGACGATACTCGTAGTGCACATTTTATCTTAGTAAGCGTCTTTCGTATCTTCAGAATCCGCCATAAGTAATTATATCTTGTGTTATTAATACTGGTATACTCTCAAGAAGCTCTTATATTCATAATTCAAAGTTATTACTATATCATTCTTGTATTCATTCTTCGCCCCAATTTTTCTAGATTCAGGTCATACACGAAGTAGATAGGCATATCTGAATACCTTCAGTTGCTGCTTTCCGAAGGAAACTAAACTTTTTGTCTAATTAATTCCAGTCGTGCTTTTCCTCACTTATTTTCACACGGTCTATTGAATTATCATTTCGAGTGTGTTGGGGATAAAATACAGTAGGACTCTTGGAAAGTATTGAATAATAATATTATACCAAGGCTGCAATGGAACATAAAGAATGATGGATTAGTTGTCATTTCACTACTGTATTCAATTATATTCCTAAGGGAATTGTGATACTCGATACATTTGAGTCGAACATCCTAGATGTTTAGTATTCGGTATTTTATACATTCAAATCACACTCTAATGGTACTGATACTCTAAAGCAACGGCAATACATCTAAAGTGGTGCTTTACCTAGTATTGATTGTATGGGTGAATGCCTAAGGTTAATTATTTCTGAAGTGAAGCTATCGTTACTTAGTCTGAAGCCATTTATTTCACTGATAATCATGAGTCATTATTTCGCTTTTGGTTCAAATCATTCAATTACCTATTCTACCACAGAAATGCTTTGCCCATTGGTGATACTCAATCATAAAATATGCTTGATAGTCTCTCGAGTTTGAAGATATATAAACTCTTAATTAAAGTACTTTATATGACAAAAATAATTTCGAAGTGGGAGAGTAGGTGGTGGGGATTTGGATGAAAGGCTCGAGTAACGAAAAAGGAGGCTAGTGTGACTCCTAGTTTTAGGAGGGAGAGACTAGAAAATATCTTAGTTTTAGTTCAACTCGGTTATACCGTATACTTTTGGTAAACTCGGCGACGCTATGCAGAGATGGAGATTTAAGGTTAACTTGATAAGCCTTAGTTTGAGTTCTTATTAATAGAAACTCTCCAGCTGATCTACAACCGTACTATTTCAGGCTATAATATACAGGATTTTATCCAGTCTTCCCTATACCAAAACAAAATATCCTTGCATAGCGTCACCGAATTTACCGAAAGTATACGGTAGTATATGACACATCTATGCCGTTTTTGTACAGCTAGTATATGTGTCTACAGTTACCCTAGGGACCGTACTCACAACAGATGCTGAACAGATGTCCCATTCGATGTACAAACAATATTTATTCTCCCTTGATCACTTCATATTTTATAACCAGATCAACTCATTTACCTAAGTACAACAACTCATCAATAACAACACCAAGCATCGAATAAGCACTATTTTGGCCAAGCCAACTCAACGAACGCAAAGCCTAACACTCAAAATGGATAGCTTCCAAGATTTAACAAGAATGGAAGTGGACGTCGAAGTCGAGGATACACCATCAACTCAACAACTCACAGAGTTCCCACTCTTTTCTCAACTCCCCACCGAGTTAAGGTTAAAAATTTGGGGTTTCACCAGGGTTCCACGACTTCTCGAAGAAAAGCATTGCAGAAAAGATAAATATCTGGATGAATATGGACAACCGGTTTCGAGACCAAACTACCCTCTCAACATTGTACTTACTGTCCCTGCACTCAATGTCTGTCGAGAAAGTAGAGCTGAGTTAACGAGCTCCTATCAAAGCATTGCCTTCACCGAGGAGCACTGCCGGAGACTTTGGGTCTCTCAGGAAGGCGATGGTAGTCTCAAACCCAAAGTCCTTTTCAATCCGGATCAAGATATCCTCCACTACGACTCTCTCCGCTCGAGATCCGACTCGAGTTTGGCCTCATTACGAAGCGAGAATGCCCTAGATTGGTTGTACGCGCAAGAAGAAAGACCCTGGGTCATCTTCTTCCAATTCATCAAGAAAATCCAAGTCACTCCACGCGTGTTCATCGATCAAACATCGATAGACAGAGGATTGGGCCATAATGCAGACTTTGAGTCGCAGGATCCTACCGAACGTGAACCCATGCTTTTCACATATTTCCAGTTCGATCGCCTAGAGCAGTTCATCGTTCAAGACTTTGATTGCAAGTTTCCTCACCAGCTTGATTGCGAAGAACAGAGATACCAGTGGAGGAGAGTACTGGATGATATGTTCAGAAATGAAGTCAAATACGATAACACAAGGATCGGGGTCGATGATGGTGACTACAGGATTCCAGAACTCATTATTCATCCAGGAAAGAAGATTAAGTCACCTTGCGAAGACTGCGTGGCAGCTCGCAAGCAAGCGAAGACCAGGAGGATTCGTGGTATCAGATCGGATCGAGTTTAAGGCCTTGCCTCTCACTAAACTGAGAACGAAATCAGACGAAAGAAGAGTGTTTAATTTCAACCATCGCTGGCGACAGCTCTTGGTGAATTCAGCGGTACAATTGCATTTTTTTCAGCGACTTCCGTACTATTATACCATTAGTATTGTTTAGTAGCCTCCAAAAACAGAACAGCTCATAATTAATATGTTGTATTTTCAATTTCAAACGTCCCAGGTGAGCTGAATCAGCAAATCATGATAATGTATATCTCAAATACCTGTTTATTGATCTTCTTGGTCCCTTTATGACTTAGTTTAAAATCTGCATTTGTAATTGATTACCGTGACACTCATCTAGAATTCCAAAACTCGGGTATAGAAGGTGGGCAACAGCTATTTACACTTATTCAGGATCTAAATCGAACAAATTCTAGAAGTACGTACGAAAAAGGCAGCCTCGAGGTTCTATATGAACCTAGTTGGGCTCGAGAATGAAGAACCTAGTCGATATACTCGCATTGCAAGTGCCATCCACATCTATTTGTAGGGTCTTAGAAGTGATTCATTTCTGATAAAAAAATACATTTACAATTCGCATCTCTTTTTGGTCTAGAGTAATAAATGTAAACAGCAAATTGTATATAATTTCCGAGTCATTTGGACGTACATTGCTTCACTGGAAGCTTATGACCATTTTTTGCGATTTTCAATTGCATTCATGTGCAATCGGAAACCGATTAACCAGTTCTTATCTTAGAGCCCAATGGGATCGCACAGGTCATTGACATCTAGGCCTTTCTCAGAGTTACAAGTCCCATGGTTTTGATCCATGATCCCTTAGAGGCATGTTGTATCCACACAACTTTGAGGGGACTATGTGTCTTTTTCGGATTAGTTGTCGTCACTGCCATTGCTTTGCGAATTAAGTTTGTACATTACCTTCTCTGTTCGTTTTTCTTATCTTACCCCGATGCAATATATTCATTTTTCTATTTTAATCTCAGCTCTGCTGCAAAATGCTGATACTATGCTACCTATAATTTGAGCCTATTCCCAATTCTTTCAATGAGAAATTTAAATTTTCACCCACCCACTGGAGAAGACTCCAAGAGACTTCTTGACTATCGGCAGATGAACTATAGACCAGCATAAAATTATGAAGGACGTATTGGGTGCGGATCCCTTGTTCTGTACCACTCATTGTTTTCCTTTGACAACCACAATGCATTCATTGTTCGGGGCTCGATGAACAAGAATGATTATCTTTCGTTCGAATGAAGAACAACGGTGAAACAGAATTCCTTATTAGATAACGGTATATAAAGTTGAAGTATCTGTCTGTAATTGGATGATCGACCTCAGATAACTAGAAATCAGAACAACCATTCAAGCACTACGACTCAATCTCATCAACAAACAGAAGTATCTAAATTCAAAATGGATACCTTTCAAGATTTAGCAAACATGACGCTGGACGTCGAAATCAAGACTGAGACTGCCAACACTCAGCAATCTCAAGCTCTCGCACCTTCTCAAGGTTTCAAAAGATCCACACTTTTCTCTCGATTCCCCGTAGAGATTAGGCGAAAGATCTGGGGGTTCACTGTGGCTCCACGCTTAGTTGAGGAGAAGTTTTGTAGAATGCCTGGGAATGGAGATATCACGAAACGATGTTTTTACAATGTATGGGAACCTTCAATCCCAAGACACCTCTTTCCCATCAACATTGTACCATACAATAGCATGCCTGCTGCGTTCTGGGCTTGCAAAGAGAGTAGGAATGAAATTGCTAGATACTATCATAGCATTGCAATCGCACCCGAAGATCGCGTGATTGGTGAGATATGGCCGGGAAGAACACTTGAAAAACCTAGCCCTTCACCGTTTTCTGACTTTTTCAATTTGGATCAAGCGATCCTCAACTTTGACTCTCTCCACGCGGAATCTTCTTTGCTTCCTTTGCCACCCTCTGTCCCTTTCAATCCGGATCAGGATATCCTTACTTTCGACTCCCTTTTTGCCATGCGCACTTTCGGAGTCTCTGACTAACCCGCAGAAAGAGATCTTCTTCTGAACAATGTACCCTTGCCCAAATCATGGCAGCCTTGGCGTGTTCTACCAGATCGAGACCAACAATGGCTCATCCAGCCTTGGGCTGTCAAGAGAATCCAAATCACGCCACGATCGCTTCTCTCGCGAACAGAACTCGAAGCGGACGAAGATCTATTTTTCGAGCGAGATGGCAATCTCGAAGGGTATGAAAAGATTTTCTTTAGTTTTGTTTTCCAAGACCTCGAAGAATTCATTGTTCAAGATTTCGACTGCAAGCTCTCCCACAAGCTCGATTCGCTGGCAAATCGAGATGCATGGAAGGAAATGATTTCGAGGATGTTCAGAGTGGAGAGTTCTCACAATGAATTTGAAGTCATGAGAGCAGGTTCTCAGTTCAAAGTCCCAAACATCGAAATTCGGCCTGGTGCCAAAATTGCCAGGCCATGCGAGGACTGCATGACAATTTCCAAGATAATCAAAGCAGAAAAGAAGGATGCGCGATTGCAACGGGATCCCAACTTTGAGGACCAGTGGTGGCTCTTTCACAAATGGTGAAAAATGTCAGTTCTGACTAGAGTCTGGCCACCTTGCGACTCCTGGAGAGTGAACTCTTCTTTTTTTTTTCGTGCTTCCCATGCTTCATGTCCTTCTAATTTCCTTATTAGGTTTCGGTATGCACTATAAATATTTCTTTTCTTTTGAACTATATTCCTTCCCATCTAAAATTGTTCCGCTCCATATGAATGCTTCAAGTGAAGTAAAACTAAACTGTTATGATATGTGACCTATGTATGGTATATGGAATTCCCAAACAATCAAACCGATGCGTTCATTTCTTGTATTCTTCATGATCGTGAATGATCAGCAATTATCAAAAAAATGTATAAGTATACAAAGCCATCTTGTCACAGCATAGAATGGTAACTGTTGGAGATGCTTAGGTCATTTTTCGACGTCTACCCAGTAATTTGTCTAGTTGACTACACTATCAGAACACTAAGAGAAGGCTGACGAGAAAATACTATGATCCGGATAAAATTAAAAAGCTCAGCGATACAGATACAGACGGACATAAGCTGAGAAGCTTGGAAACAAAGCTTCAGATCTGACTGCACACTGCACTGCACATCCTTCTTGAGTATAGTCCATAAGGTAGACAGCATTTGAGTATCTCATTATTCGAGTATATCTAATTTATGGAAAGTGATCCATAGCTGTCAGACTTGTTAAAACTCTTAACATTGAGCTTTTGAATGATCTGACTTAACGGATTCTCAATCTGCCATTTTACATACGGGTGCTTGAGTGTTAAGAGTCTTCTATTATTCATTTCCAAGCCTTCTCTACCAATCATCAACGCTTTCCTCGCATTTCATTTTGAATCTTGAGCCACATTGCTTACAACGAGTGTGTGCAAAGACGCTAGTGTCAATAAGTGCAGTTCACTTCTGTGCACCCTTCTTCGTTTCCTTGAGGCTCATGGGAGTCTGTTATGTTACCGTATGTCCTTTCAGTATAGTGGTACTCAAGTAGTTTGCACTTACAAGACACCAAGTTCGTATCGTTTTCATTCTTGCAGAATCTCCATTTATTCTGAGCCAGGACGCTGAGTTGGTAGTTTGGCAGAAATATTTAAAAATAGTTCGTGGTTGAAACTGCGCATGGGGTTTTCGAGGTTATTCGAAGAAGAGGTGCAAAAAGAAGAAAACGAATACAGGAAGACCAGTGAACATTATATTTTAGGACAACGCCATTCTCCGAAAGAGTGGTCTGCTTCTGATTGTCGTGGAAGTTGCACAGTTGGTTTGTTGTTGATTTCTTTGTTGATTTCTTTGTTGATTTCTTTGTTGATTCTGTTGTTGATTTCGTGGAGGGTTTCGTTGATGATCGTGCAAATGAGACCGTTTACTGGATCTTGTAGGGGAGAAGATATATATAAGTGAGTTGATTCTGACTCACGCACTAGAATATGTGAATATTTCGAGTTTACGCATGAAGGTATGACTCCGAATGGAGCTCAGACTCTACTCACACCACTACTTGACGTATATACTTCCACGCTACATAATATACATATGACAAGCAACCAGTATCCGAGTCAGGAAAGGGGTTAACTGGCCAAAATTTAAATGTGAGCAGTCAAAATCATTCGTTTCCCGATTTAAAGCTAAATTCCAGTGCTCAGAGGTACTCGTATGCGCTTCTTGGCCACTTAAGACTCTGTATTGTGTGGATGGGTCATGATCATCAAGAATAATCTTGGTGCCGATTTCCTCATAATTTTGTCATTAAGGCCACACCACATATTCACGCATCCACCTCTAACTCTTCAAGCCATATCCAGTAGGTATAATCGACGGCCTAGTCAAAGTGTTATGACTCGAGTATAGTTAAGAAAGGAAATCGGCACCTTTATTAATAAGTGAGCATTTAAATAAAGTCGATGTCGAGCCATGATACACAGTTTCTGATTCTTTGAGATTATGTTGTTTTTATTTTTGTGACCCCTTAGTAATAACGGTCAATTACAGTCAACGAGTCGCCTTGCCTTTCCTTTTTCTTTCATGTCCGCCTCTGCACACTTAATCCTTCAATAATAATCGACAATAATTAAACAGTTGCCTGTACTCTGCCATTCCCCTTCCCATTTGCCTTTGCGCACTCAGCAACCTTTTCACAGACCACACAGACCGGATGTCCACACTCTCCACACTTTTCATTTGACAGCGAATTCTTTCTCCTGCACTGAAAAACCATCGTCAGCATAGTTTCAACAACACTTTGATCTTACTAGTGTTCCAAGTAACGACATAAAAATGTATGAAACCACACCACCGGAACAGAGAGAAATAAAACTCACAGGCCCCTTAACAGCAACCTCCATAACCCCCCCCCCCAAACGACCCATAACCCTCGCCTTGGCACAAATATGATTACAGCAAGTCCAATAAAACCCATATCCATAACTCGAGCTCGAAACCATATCCATCTCATCCTGTATACCCAGACCATGGCGACAATTGATTCCAGTGAGTCTCTCCATCACCTTATCAATTTTCCGCTCGTTCTCGGGACTCATGATGTTTGCGTTGCGGAAAGCACGATGAATCTGTGTGGGAGGTTTTGAAGATGTATTGTTCGTGGGGGGTTGGTTGTGGAGTGACTCCACGGATGGTGGGGGGCAAATAGAGGCGGGTCCTTGTGAATGAAGAACGGAAATATCAACCGCAGCTACCCGATTATTCACTGCAGAATCGTGGCTAGTGGCTATAGGTGTTAAGGCTTGATCTTGGGAGGCCAAGCTGGTACCTATCACATCTATCCCATCTCCTCCTTTATATGTGGCAAGGCAACGATTGGGTTTCGGAGAGCGCTGGCGTGAGGTTGATTTAGACTTGGATGTAGAAGCCAAAAACCTTTCCCTAATCCAAATCACAAGTTTGTTCCAGAAAGACTTGAATAAGCAGCCTTCCGACTTTAAACGACTTGCCTTGGTCTCATCTTGCGATTTCTTATTCATTAACACATCCACGAGAAACTCCTCTGCAGCCGATGTCCTACGTTGACAATTCTGTACAACTGGTCGAATGTCTTCTAAATATGGCTGAACATCGAGACCGGGTGGGATTGAATCACCTTGAAGTGACTTTTGGCGACGGTTTTTGAAGTTAGCATGATGTCTCGAACTTGCGTGTGAATCTTGAAAGTCTTGACGACTTTGGACGAAAGTATCTGGTGCCGGCGCCATGGGCAATGCCGATATAAATAACATGGACATTCCCGCATCCATCGTGTCAATACGAATGTATTGTATAGTAGCGGAGAGTTGTTAGCTCAATATGTTGGTATTTATAAGATGGTGTGTGATGAGGAAAGTGGACTATTTGATATCTTGGTAAATGGAGGATTTTGTGACTGAAACAGCAAATCATAAACACAACCTAGTATAGATAATACAAGACCCAACCGTAGCAGAACAGGATCACTGTACTAACTCGATGGCCATACGAACTGAAGTATTGCGATAGGGAAGTCACGCGAAAAAATAACGATTAGCCAACAAGGTAACTTGACAGTGAATCAGTGACATTCAGTTGTTATGGTGATGCATAAGATTCCTTGAACTACCTATTGTAACCCCTATGTAAAATCTCGCTTATCACTCACGACTTCTCCAATCATGCTATTTTTCATTGCCTGACTTGAATATCGAAAGACGGTTGCCATCCATGTACCCCTGGATCACTGAATTTGATTCTGGTATCGAAGTGGTTTTCGTCGTATGCTGTCTCCAAACTCCTCGCTTAGCTTGCTTACTGGAGGTATTCTCGACTTATCTAGGGGATTTGAAGCTCAAATTCTGGTACATATACTAGATTAGCTTAGCCGACACTATTTCAATGTTGAGTGACCCATACAGTACAGCTTGAGCATTTCTGCAGACGGTAACAGTTGCAGGTAGACGTGAGATAATGGTTTGTAGCCCTTACTTTGCACCTGAAAACTTGTTAGGAAAAAAAGCAGCACAGGGACGGGGATGAGACTTACGTTCTAAAACACTTCGGTCACAAAGTTGGCACACATTTAGATCGTGCTAGGTATAAGCACTTGCACGGCTTTGAGGACATCCATCTTATTGCTTTGGAAATTTTGGTGTGAGGTCTGTTTATCTGTCTAGAGCAAAGAAGATAAAGTGTGATGTCAAATTAGCGGCAGTTGAAGGTATTATCTTATACTCCATCGGTTTGGAATTTCCTTGCTTTGAATCATGAAACATATTCAAACGTCCCGTAGTTTAGTTTGAGATAATTGCACTTCAAAATAGGACGTGATTGGTTTCTTTTATACGTAGCTGGCGGCAAGGTTTCCCACGTCGGCAAGCTGTAGGTTCGGTGGTGGAGACTGTTTTGAGTCGATCCAGTTCTCCCAGAATTTTACCCCTTCTATACTCTCTTCCCTACATAAAGCCCCTCTTTGCTCAGCCATTTCAAGCTCTTCTTCCGCAACCCCAATACTCCATCCAAAGTGTTCTGCAGCGTCTTGTGATGTGACGCCTTGCCCAAATTCCTGCCAGTCCCAAGGTACCTCCTTCTCTGGAAAAAATACGTGCAAGTCTCTTAGCCATGCTAGTAAAGTCTTGATAGTTTTTTCATCAGTTCTATCACTGCCCTGAACCACTAGAACCCCGCTTCGAAACTGCCTCAATCGTACTGGCAGCTTTAGCTTCTCCCACAATCTTGCAGCCTTTTCGAAATCCAAAGGGCTAACAAGTTCAACACCACCTCGAGCACGGTTAAAAGTAGCCCACAGGTCGACCAGACTGATTATACCCCCAGTCTTGCGCAAAACTCCTCTAGCATCATCTGTGAGGAATTCTGCAAGATTCCTTGACAATTCTGAAATATATAATGACTCGGAATTGCTTCCACTACCAAGCATCTCTTTCGTGGTGACCAAACCAAGAGCGCTCGCAACAGCATTGGACTCAGTGTTTCCATTTGTACCATTACAGCTCGAGAAAGATTCTGCAAGAGCAATGATCTCTTTAGCTGAGGCCATTAATGCGTCAAGATCTTCAAAAGCATTTCCTATGACAAGTTCATTGTTCTTGCGAACTTCAAGACGCATCTGTTCTAGGCCTGCTATCCCAACCGTTTTTGCTCGCTCGCCACCTGGTGTGGAAGTACCGGAACCCGATCCACTATCCGTCCTAGCATGGCGATTGGGTTTGGGTACGGGCGGAGCATCTTGAAGAAGCCATTTACGCTGTGTCATGCATGCCTTGAGACGTTCGAGGAAAACCTTTTCGCCACCCCCGCGAAATGATAGTTTAATGCTTTCATTAGTCTCCGTACCGGGCGCTGGTAAATGATTAAGCGTTGGACCTGGTGACACTTTACGTCGTTGTGAGGGATTCAAATTACTTGGGAGATCTTGGGACAGGAGAGGTGCTCCACAAAGTTCGCAGGCCATAAGTGAGGGATGGTTCAGAAAAGTGCATCGTGAACAAGCAAAAGATGGCTCATTGATCTGACCCGAAGAGGGTCCTCCTTGATCAACTCCAAAATTTCTCGAAGATACATCCCAAAGATCAGATTGTGGGCGAGGTATATCGGAACGGCCCCTCACTGGTACCGGTGTCTTAATCGGTATTGTGAAGGATGGTGCCGGTCGATTGCCAGCACTGGATATGGCTGCTTTGAGGACATGAGAGAACGGAGGTTTGATACCACATGCTAAGCATGGAGGTAGGGGAGTATTTGTATTGGATGTGACTGGATCGAAATTTGATGGCACAGGATTCGAGAAAGAGCAAATAGGACAAATCCATGTGGCACTACTCGCAGGTGAGGGCTCGGGAGTTGGCAGATGGAATGGACTATCAGTTCGGGATAATGGAGACGTTGTTGCACTTCTGGGAGGAGAATGCAGGCCGGCTAACACTCGATTTTGAACAGAGGACCGTTTCGAAGGTTTCGGAACAAGAGTAATCTTGGCGGACGATTTCAAAAAGCCAGCCTATAAGGATGTTAATCGTATATAGCGTTGAGGGTTTAGCTCATGGTTCTTACATAAAATTCATAGCGATCAACCTCTTTGAGATCTATTGCCGTGGAATTCCTCCGTGGGTCATCATTATCTACATAACATATTCGATGTGATGTCAAGTAGACTTGACCATTCTGATGATCTGGGATTTTATATTTCCTGTTTGCACATTGAATTAGCAAGTTTCTTTCCCCCCTGTTGGTTGCTTAAGCTAACGATAACTCACCCCTCATAAAGCCCAACATTATCTTGGACAAAGAGGTTGACCTCATCTGGCAAATAGGATGGCCTCAAAGCAGTAGTGAGGTCTAGGTGTTTTAAAAACATTCGTCCAAGCAAGCCATATATTGAGAATTTCCTTGGTGTCTGTCTAAGGACAGTGTTGTGCACATCTGTTGGCAACAATAAGAATGCAAAAGTTGCAATATCTGCCAGCCTTTGGAAAGCCAAGATATTTCCAATCTCTGCTATCGTTTCGTTCCCTTATCATGATATGGATGTAGCATGGAAGACAAGATTGACACTTTGTGTGTGTTTGGACTACCGTAGTAAATCTATGACCTCGTGACTAATTATACATCGGTTAATTGTACATTTCGAACCAGCCATTCTTACAAAACATTCCACAACCACAAAATCATACACTTTCTGAATCCCATCACTCCAACCATTTCTCTTGACCCATACGCTTGTCGCATCTCTTGTTATCACATCACTAATATCTAAAGAACACAAGGAAATAAGTTCTACATGTACAATACGATGGCTTCACCGTGGAACTCAAACATTCCACCGCCTCCAGGTACGACTGGCTCGTATGGCTATCAGCAAGGTGAGCAATCTAGCCCCAGCACTGCTATCTATTCCAGCAATCTATATACAGTCTCTAACACATATTCTACAGTTGCGCCGATAGTTGCCCCAGCTTATCACCCAGTGCAAGTCCGACAATCATTTAATCAAGCCCCACCCATAATGTATAACCCAGCAGTAATCCCCCCTCAATCACCCCCTCAATCAACACCTCCTGTCCAAAAGAAAAGGGACTGGCCACAGTCAGTTCGTAGCTACGTTCAGCGCTCATTTGACGTCGCATATGCCATCGAGGGTATCGAGCGCACAGATATGGAAGACATGTTAAAGAGGACCATCACCGAAGCATCCGATACCGACACACTCTACACTCGTGATTGGAACAACTATCCACTTCCTCAACAATTAATTCAAAAGGAGCGTTCGAAGGCAACACTAGCATGGCAACAGGAATCCTTAAACTTTCAATTAGCCGCTGCCGGCTTGTCTATTTTGGGGAAGAAGAGAAAATCTATTGAAGGCAACAGTGATGAGAACCTTACTGCACCGCCGCCGTGGCGTGGTAATAATCGCACTGGAACTGATGATCGTGCCAACTTGACGCCTTCCAAACAACGTTTCGATAAACGACAACCAATCCAGGACGAGCTCTCTTTCAAAGGTACAAGTAAGTTTCAAAAAAACCTGGAGAAGCGACAAAAACGATTTGATGGTGGCTATAAATCTACCTACAAATCTAAAACACCAACGCCGGAACCAATGATGGGCCCTTTGATTGGTGCGAATACATCTTTGGAGAAGGAGTACTTCCGTTTGACTACTGCACCCGTGGCTTCACAGGTTCGCCCTGAGTACATATTAAGGGAAACACTAGATCTTTTGAAAAAGAAGTGGAAAAAGGAAGGGAACTATTCTTACATTTGCGATCAGTTCAAATCCATGCGTCAGGATCTTACCGTCCAGCGTATCAAAAATGAGTTTACTGTCACCGTCTACGAAATCCACGCACGTATTGCATTAGAAAAGGGGGATCTCGGTGAGTATAATCAATGTCAGACCCAACTTCGGGGTCTCTATGCCCAGAAGATTGGAGGTAATCCAGTGGAGTTCAAGGCATATCGTATCTTGTATTTCATTCACACAGCTAACCGCACGGCACTAAATGATGTCATTGCGGATCTAACAATAGCAGAGAAGGAATCAGAAGCGGTAATACACGCCCTGAGTGTACGTTCGGCGTTAGCCTTGGGAAATTACCACAAATTCTTTAGACTTTACCTCGACACCCCGAATATGGGAGCCTACCTTATGGATATGTTCGCCGCCCGAGAACGCCTGGCTGCGCTGTCTAAGATTTGCAGAACGTAAGTCAACCCATTCCTGATGTCCTTATGAAATTGACCAATATCTTATAGCTACAAACCTGAGGTCAAATTAAGGTTCGTCACAGAAGAATTAGGATTCGAGTCCGATGGCGATGCTGCCCAATTTATCTGTGATCACAACGGACAGGCCTTGCTAGTGGAGAAAGATGGCGACCTTCGATTTCTCTCTGGTCAAGCCGGCCAAATCTTTGAGAACGCAAAAGCTGAAGCCTTCCGCGCGATTGATATCAAGGGCCAAATCTAACACTTTCGTACTTTTCGACTTCGCTTAAACCTTGTCATGTCCTTTTCCGTCATTTTTTCCTCCCTATGGTTATTTCAAGACGGTCTTCAGGTTCGAATTATAAGATTCATCTAATTGGCTTTACTTCGCTCGTATAACGAGGTATGAGCCTAGATGATGGCTCTTTTCGTTTTCATCTACTTGTCCTTTCACAGAACGAAATTTCGAGTCGACCAAGAGCACCCGATTTTTCTTTTCCCCCTTCTCCGATCTCGAGCGACAGAAGCCCTCTGTACTGTTCACATTTCCTCTTTCCTTTGATGCATGGCGAATATCGTAAAGGTTGTGGTTGTGGTCCTGGCGTTATGGGAGTAGAATGAAGTGCTAGTCATTCATGGTAAGCACATTGAGGCTAGGAGTTGAAAGATCTATATACCTTTGCATGGCGCCAGTGGGAGGAAGCGTTTGATACATTTTGGGGGGGCGCGGTATGGAAGCTACGTCTGCATTATTTGGTGGTACAATCCGCCTTTCATGTATCTTGTTGGCATATAAGTCCCCTCGTTAATGTTCATTTCAAGCAGTTTGTATTGACAAAAGTTATTCGCGGAATGGATATAAAATCTAAAAAAATTCATTACAAATTTATACCAGTATTTTTTGAAACAAGAAAGTGTTGCTCGTGCCGTTGTTATTGGCGTCGAAATGCGAATACGCAGTAGTTCACTCCATATTTCATGAATAATACTGGGTATACTTGATAAACTTTTCTTTCATGCGATAAACTCAAAAGTCAAGCCGGCGCTGCTTTTAGGTCATTGGCAAGCCAGCTAGCTAGCTTGCGAATAAGATAAGTGATTTAGTATTATTATGGATAGGAGGTCAGAATAGAATGTATGTGTGTTGTTTGGTGGGTGTTTAGTGGGGTTTAGTGGGGTTTAGTGGTGTTGGGGGTGTAATTGTCTGGTTTATTTGTATGGATGATGAAATAAATCAATGGATGGATGACTTGAGCTTGTGGTTGTGGTGGGTGGGGTATTGGAGTATTGGATGAGTTGTAGAGGGGATGCCAGCGTGGGGAGGATGTGGAGGGGATGTGGAGGGAAAGCTGGTTGATATGGTGTAGATTGAGATTGGTTGGGATATAGAGGGGACGAGGAAGGAAGAGGAAGGGTGAGGAAGGAGACTGGGTGGGTGTGGAGGGAAGGAGGGTTTGCTTTTGCTTTGCTTTGCTCTACTTTGCGCTTGGCGGTGGTGCAAGTGCAGTGCAGTGCAGTTATGAATTGGCAGTGGTATGTATATATGAGTACCTTGTTAGTGGTTGCGCTCGGATGGGAAAATTGTGGTGGTGGGGTGGGGTGGGGTGGGCTGTGGGTGGCGATAGTGGTAGCGGTAGCGGTAGCGGGTTGGTGGGTGGATGGTTGGTGGGTGGATGGTGGATGGTGGATGGATGGTGGAGGTGTTGTGGACGGTGGGTGTGTTGTAGATGGTGGGTCGTGGGGAGAGAGGAGTTTTGGGGAGAGGTATGGCTGCGAGAGCTGGATGAAATAGATGGAAAATGTAGAAAATATAGTAATTATAAAAAGATAGATATTGAAGTTTGCGGATGGATAGATGGGAGGGGAGGGGTAGGTAGGTAATATTGTCGAATACTGACTGGTAGATGGATGTTAAGAGGGTAAAGAATAGAAAGGAAGGAATGGAAGGAATGGAAGGGGGTTGGTTGTCTGTGAGGTGAGTGAGTGCAGAAAATGGAGGAAGGAATACCGGTAGGGGTTGGGACGGGATGGCACAGGAGGGGACTTATTATTATTGTACAGTAGACGACAAGAGGTTGAATAATACGTATAATATACGAGTACCGGTAATCGATGTGTGGGGGTTATCAATTAGGTGATGGTGATAGGGAAAGCTGTGTGTAGGCGGGCGAATAAATGGTGGTTGAGGTGAATGAGATAAGGTGAGGCGAGGTGAGGTGAAATAATATAAAGAGGGGAATCTAGAACGGATAGATAGTTGGATAATTGGTTACTACCTACTACTGTATGTAGCCTAGGTAGGTAGGTCGGTATGTGAGATAGGTAGGTACTCTAGTAAAGTAATAATAACCTTCAAAGTCAGATTTTAAGGAATAGGGTCTATCTATCTGAGTATTAAATTTAGTATTATAAGGTTTAAATTTGATTTAATGTGAAAGTCATATATAAGTATATACTAGTAACAGCTCTCTCATCTATTAATCTATATTCAATATTCAATATTTAAGACACCTTCAAGTTGAATATATATATATCAAAATTTCACCATATACTCACTGGCACCCTCACACTCACTCATAGTCCTGCAACTTGAACACAATCTAATCTTAGTTATTCGCTTGTCAGGTATTCATTCATTTACATAGGCTAATAATAAAACTTGGTCATCGCTATCATTATCTCCTTTCCTTTCCTTTCGTTTCCTTACCCTTCCTTCCTTTCCATCATCCCATCACTCCATCCATCACCTAGCATAAAAAAAAATCAAAATGCTAACTTTCCTTCAATCTCGCAAATGAAAACTTCCATGGTATGTCTGTCGTCCACCTAACTATGCAACCCAAAAATTTCGAGAGAAGAGAATAACATCAAGGGGGGATAAAAAATAAAGAAGCGCCATAATGATAACGCCTAGTGCCTCCCTATATTCTCATCACCGACAGAATGTTTTCAAATAAAAAAGAAGAAGGTATTGGTTAAAAAGAAATGGTTGATCTGCGTTAAAACGAGTGTGGTTTCGGCTGCCAAAAGTTGTACCTGCAGCTATTACCAACCCCCACGGGATATGGTCTGTACACCCGAAGCAGATTAAGAATGTATAAGTGCCAAAAAAAGTAGCAGTAGAACAGATCGTTCAAAGAATAGGCGAGAGTTGATTTACTCTCTGTTTCCAGTCTAATACCGGATACATGTAAGAAGAAAGGTCGTTGGCAATATCTTTATTGATATTCGACGTAAATGATGAGTTTGTCGTTCCGACGTAGAGCAATGTCTAGATCGTTATCGCTCATTAGATTTGGTTTCTCTCCGCTAGGCTCGTCCTTGTAGTATAGTGCAATTTCATCCCCTTGTGGTATCTTCAAGCGGTCACTGATCTTCTCATAAAGTTGCTGGTATTGAATGTCGGTAGGTACCCGAATGGCTATCAAATCGTCGCCGAAATAGATCTTGACTTTCATCGCAGATGGTTGCTGCCCATTGATGTTGGCTCCCGGAGATAACGAATTGCTGGATGGTTGAGAAAGAGAGGAGGTCTGGCGTGTCGGGCCTTGGCCGTTATTGACAGATAATGATGATTGTCCTCTTTGATGTCCTGGGGCGGCTGTGAGGCCAGTAGGTCCTCCGCTTGAATATTCTTCCCCATTTAAATCACCCCGCGACGACTGCCTAGATGCTGCCTGTGTTCTTGAATCGTTCGATGACTGTTGTGAACCACCAGATAAACGATATTCTTCTTCCACTGCGTTTGGATCCATCTCATAATCACCTTCTCGGGGTGCGAAAAACTGTTTGACAAGAGTGCATCGAGAAATATACGGTGGCTGCGTCAGAAGGTTCTTGACATAGGTGTTAAGATTATGTTGTCTTCCTTCTGTTATCGCATCTGTGACATAGTTGACAGGTCCTGGCATATACGGCAAACTTCTCTTCTGTGCACCGGTATTGCCTGCTTCTGCTGGGAACTCTGTTAAGAGAGCAATTTGGAAATCGTAAAAATCTTCGTAGTATCTCGAAAGCTCCCAATGTCTCCCATCCTCCAGAGCTGCTTCGATAACAAACCAATATTTATCTTCGGCGAAACAAAATCGTGGTATTCGAGCGGATATTGGAGCGTATAATTGAGAAGTGGATTTAGATGGGATGGAATAGGGGTTTTGCGGGACTTGCTGAACAGATTGAGCAGCTTTCGCTTGTTGTGACTGCCGTTGGTCCTAATATTTAATTAGCATTAACTTCTTTCAAAAAAGCTTTTCAACACTACGCGGCGGGTCAATGCTTACGTAGCCTTGGCCGTTCTGCTGACTCTGTCTCGCATTTTGTTGCAGACTCATCCGTTCCAGATTCTGCTGCATTTGTTGCTGCTGTTGTTGTGCAGAACCATTGGGAACCTCGAACTTGCCCAGAGTAATGCTACTGTTCTTGTAATCGGCAGCCATCCGTTTCCATTCTTCCACTTTTGGCACACCAGCCCTCTGTACTGCCTCTTGCGCGTTTGGTACAGCCTTTCCGGTGCCCATATCCCGTATCTCGATGAAGTCAACCGGTATGAGTCCTGGTCCTCCAAGTCGTCCAATTGGCTTTGCGACAAACCATTCTGGATTTGATTGAGCGATCACGATGATGGCTTCTCCGGCTTTGGCTTCCAATTCATCAGGTCGTTCGGCCGCAAAATCGTACATCACCACGCCGTAAACCATCGCACCGGTGCCTTTCATTGTCTTTGAAAATCTTTGACCTCCACCGCTGTCCGGAGGACTCGCCAGAGTCCCTGAGCCCGACAGATCGGAATAACCCGAATCATGATCCACCTTCAAGCCCATAGGCGACTTATCTGATAGGGATTGCCCACTATCCCGCTCCGTCTTCCCTAACGCTTGGAAGTATGCAACTGGTACCAATCCCCTCGCATCTGGCACTGCGGGATTACATGCCTCATACCAATCCGTGTCATTCTCTCGTCCTATAACATGAAAGAAATCGCCCCTCGAGAAACCCAATTGTTGATTTGATTGTGCCTCATAATCGTACAATGCGCGAATAACCTAGAATGATTTGCAGCCCGTCAGAATGTGGATCGATCGAGTTGCGACTCATGTACCTGAATTTCGACATACCTTTCTCGGAGGGACAATTGCGACGGCAGATTTGGGAGTTAAGGAAATATGTTGAACTTTTGAGTCGGGCTTCTCGCCTTTGATCGATCTACGAAGAGCCTGATAAACAAACATATTGTGTTAGCAATGACTCCCAACTTGTGTGTAAATTCTTTGGACGAAGTTAAGAGGGCTGGCTGGTTGGTTGGTTGGTTGGTTGACTGACTACTGACCTTCATATTGATCGCTGTATATCGTTATATGTTGTACTCCTCGAGACGCAAGGTAAAAAAGGAAAGGTGATGGATGAGAAAGAAAGGAAAAAAATGTAGAATTCGTCAAAAGTTTTTAATCGTTCGATCGTGGGCCAAAATATGATTATCGTTAAATCGTGTTAGATAGATAATATTATCGCTATCGTTTCGTTTTCCTCAATCGATCGTAGGTAGGTTCGTTGGTTCGTTTCGTTCGTTCTTGCTTGCTCTTCACTTTCTTTCCTTTTCGCATATGCAATAATGTATAATGTAACCAAATCAAACCAAACCACCCTACCACTGGCAACTTTACTTTCTTTTGAGGCGGCGATTAAAACCCCAAGCCAAGCGCTACTCTACTCCGAGTCCACTATGTACTACCACTACCAAATAGCTAGCTAGTAGCTTCCGAGGGGAAGACTTGATAAAGGTGGGGTGACTAAAAATATGGGTGAATCCTCTAACTTGCAATCCTAATCCTGATAATCCTAATCCTAATCCTAATCCTAATTCTGATCCTACTCGAGTACAAAGCGAAAGATTCTCGAACAATGATATATGATATGATATGATATGGAATGATGTGAAGTACAGTATAATGTTTGAGGGGTAGGTAAGTTGTTGTGAAATGAGGTGTGCCCTCGAACGGGTTGGGTTGAATGATGTACTGAGTGAGTAGTAGGGAAATAGATTGGCTTTAAATGATCTTCTTCGCTGCAACATTTTCTTTGTTGGATCAAAGAATATTATATTTACATCAGCTTCAAATCTCAAAATATCAATATCAGATTACATACATTATATGAATAGTAATGATTGACATTCCTTATCTAAAATCTTGAGTCAATAAATAACCATCCCCTCTCATCTCAAACTTCAACGTTCTTCTTGATCTTCTCTATAAATTACCCATAAGATCCTAATCTTCAATTGGCCCAATCCACAACGGTAAGTTTATTAGATTAAACCATAAACTGCCACTAAATTTAGGGATTATTTATTTTAGAACTAAGATTATACCTTGCCTAGGTAAATATTCACGAAAAAAGCAGCTGTGGCTTTGACTTTCTGACTTTGAACCAAAATAATAAATCATGCAAGCCGCTGAACCCTTACTTATATCCTTTCCTTCTTATCGATAATATTGATTATGGATATCGATATCGATTAGTCGGATACGATACTTGATATCCACGTTTTTGAATGTGTATGCATCGTATTGCATGCATTTTCAATAGGTAGATAGTTTGAAGCCCATTATCGTATATAATATTTACTGGGTAGGTTTAATTATCCATCCATTCATTGGTTCTATCTATCCATCTACACTTGAGAAATGATGTCTTGAATGAGCGCGTTGAAAATAAAATATTAATATAATGAACCAATCAAGTGTTACGAATAAACCTTCACTTACTCCTCTACTCTTATATCTCTCTATAATAATATAATATTGTTTTCGTCATCATTATCATCATCATTATTATCAGCAATAGTAATAACTCGAGTATAAATCACTCTTATTTAAATCATAATACAAATCGCATCTTCATCTTCATCTTCAATACAACCCGAGTTTTTCATAACCGCATACATATACCCAATTAGGTACGTAACACACCCCCTCTTACGAAATACACTGCACAGCTATTTGTTTGAATATCTGAGCTACCTTTTAATCCTTTTGTTTTCTTATACTCGAGTAGTAATAATATTATTTTATAAATTAGCTCAAGAGAGAGTCGAGATTGATTAGAGATAGAGTACTACGAGCGAGCTATAAGTTATAAGTTATACATGAGCATAAAAAATATTGTTTGGTGTTTGGTTGGGTCTTGACTCCTGACCCCTGCTCAACAAACAGCTTTTTTCCACCTCTTCTTAGATATGATGGAATCTGTGGGCATGATTCAGTGATCAGAGTAATACTCCTTTATACTGTAATTTGAAGGAGGAGTCAGATAGATAGCTATGCTGAAATTGTTCTCGAGCCATTTCAGTAGCTCGTGTGAGTTATGGGACCAGAAACATAACAGTAGTCATAACAGTTATAATGTACTTTTGCCTGGCTATCTACTCGAGTATACTCGAGTAGTAGAAGAAATCTCCAGATTATATCAATGCTGCATCAAGTCACGCTGTCTATCTAGCACACTGCAATGCTAATATGCTATGTCTAAAAGGTATATGCACTAGTATCTTGGTACAATGGGCTGGTAGCCCTTTCTATTCATCGTCAAACACGAAGTTCTATCGAGCGGTATAACCATTGCATTACGAGGAAAACTTCACAGGATCTTGACTATCACGCTTATGCAGAACAGTTTAGAGGTTCTCAGTTCCTTGATCTCCTTCTTTTTCTTCGAATATCAATGTGGAAATGTCATATCTAGATGGTGTGTCCGGGTGGAAAAACACATCGCAACGTTTTTCTCAAAGATACAGATACAGATACAGATCCTGACCCGAAGCTTGGGGAGAGTCTGTGATATTTTCTTACGTTTTTCTAACTGTAACTGCACCGCTCAAATAAAATTTGGGAACTACCGGTCCTCTATTTTGTCTGAGAGAGTACTAGATGATATAATATACGCAAACACAATCCAGCTCATTAAAACATACGATCGATAGTCAGGCTGAAGACCAGAAACCAAAAACCAGAAAACGTTCTTCGACAACTTCCGGCTCCAACTGCAACTGACTGCAATTACGCAGATTCTGCACTCGTGGCACAATTCAGGGGGTTTTATCCGATAGATACCGGTGCTGGAATGATGATGGAAGACTTAACATATTACATGACAGAATTGAAGCCGAATGCTTCTTATACAAAGCTCTAGTACTGAAGTTGACTTCATTAACCAGCTTCTTAATGGTTAATTTTCACCTAGTGGTTCAACCGTCTTTCATGCTCAGCTGGTATTCCGACTTACCTACAAAGCTTGAGGATGGATAATGTGTCTAAAGGTCATGAATGCTTTTTAGATGTAAGATACTTTCTTCTGAGACCTTGAATGATATTCAAATTACTCGGGTATACATATGTAGTCGAGGAACTAAATGTCACGATTCAAGAGTCGCCTACGTGTTTTCACGTGACAAGAAATAGTAGAATAAACCTCATATATTGGGGTTGGAGATATATTGTCTAGATGAGCCATTATATACAGATTTCAGTTATATCAAATCTAAAACTGATAGATACCGGGGTGTTTATAAAATATCTAGATGCATCACTGTTAGGCCATTTGCATTCCCTAAGTAGCTGTTGTGGATTAGGTAAGCAGCGGTTTTGATCGGCAGAATCATCAAAAGAACACCTAAATATTTCTCACGATTTCAGTTCAAAAAACAAAAAAAAACATTCTATTGATATCTATTATTCTATTTACAGTACTGATGTTACACACTCTCACCAAATACTCAACAGTAACCAGGCTATAGAGCTCTACCAATCAGCTCTGGTACAGCCAAGCCGAAAATATCTTTCGGATCATACCCTACGGGCACCTCAGGAGGGTAATTTACCCACCAGTTGGTTATTATCGTACTAAATCGTGAAATGAAATGTATTGAGATCTTGTATTGAGATCTGAATATATAGTCTAGGCCTAATATAAATTAGTTCGATATAGCTTCCTTTTTTTCACCCTAAATCGATGATTTCAAATTCATTTATATCTAGCGAAATCTTTCAATCAAATTTGCAACTTTTCATTCAAATCAACTTGAATGCTTTCAATATTCAGTAAGTTAAAATGCTTTCAATGCTTCAATATTCATCAGTAAGTTAGAATGCTTTCAATATTTTCAATATTCAGTAAATTTGAATAGTTTCAATTATTTATATAATCGATTAAAGGTTAGCGACGACAAGGGTGCGACAACGAGGTTCAAAATAAGGTATGAAACTCAAGGAGGAAAAGTCCAGAGAGGCCAGGGAGGCCAGGGAGGCCAGGGAGGCCAGGGAGGCCAGGGAGGCCAGGGAGGCCAGGGAGGCCAGGGAGGCCAGGGAGGCCAGGGAGGCCAGGGAGGCTAGGGAGGCTAGGGAGGCCAGGGAGGCCAGGAAAGGGAAGGGAGGGGGTAACAATTGAAAGGCCCGGGAGAAGTTGATCAACGATATCGAAGGCCTTTTTAGCTTCAAATCTCAATACAAGCATTGAATCTCAATACATGCTTTGAATCTCAATACACACGCTAAAAAGGACACTTGTCAAAAATAGCCGATTTACCCTCCTCAGGTGCCCGTAGGGATACGAGTACATCCACTTCAACTAGACTCAATTACCACTGTATAATTCCTATCCAACTACCAGAATGTCACTTTCCTTATTTATAAGTATAAGCACAGGTTTTCCAATATGCCAGAAAAAATAGTCAACCAAACATCAATCTCGAAACATTTTGCTGTAAAACCAGGATAGCGAATAGACTGTTATCAGTTGTACAGGATTACCTACCCATATTCATACTTATAGTCGCCTATCTGTATGGTTTCGAGGGTTTTGTCTCGTGTAAAAGTTCTCATTACTTGACTTAACTCAGGATGATAACATCAGCATCAGATATGGATGGAGTCGTGCCAGAAGTACTTTGAACATTGCGGATAGGTTCACTCATGTATGCGTGTTGCTTGTGAACATGCTTATTTCTCAAGGCGAGCTGCGGAGATGCGAGGAAGAGGTTTGATTAGTTGGTGCACTTTCGTTGGCCATTCATCTCAGCTGTAAAATCAAAAGTTTCCCAAGTTGAGATTGTATTTCTACCAAGATGATGATTAGAGCTTCTAGTATCTGCAACTGCAGTGACCTTTCAGTCGAGGGTTATATTTGTGGACAAAGATTGTGATTTGAGAAGAAGCGGAAAGAAGGATGTTGTGAGCAAGATGTGAAAGGTTGAACGACCTTGCCTTGCTAGGTAGTTTGGAGCTCCTCCATCATTGACCAATCATGATATTTTACCTCTACCAATCTTTCTAGCTGCGCGAAGCTCCTCCTCTTCAAAACGGTCTTTATCAAGCAAGCGATCAGAATTCTCGGGTTTTCCCACAGTAGTCATACAAGAATTTCATTTCCCTTGAAAACGGATATTGACCTACCCAGACACAAAAAAAAGGTGCATGAAGTATCAAACTATGCTTTGAAAAACTTACTCGGGTATTTAATAGTCGCTTTGCAGTAGCACTTACCCCTCGAGGTCATGCTAATGACTAAGTTCAACTAGTGGAAGGTAGACTTGAAGCTTTCGAGTCCACAAAACTCCAATATGAACTAAACCTCCATAATCTTTGAACTTCGCCGTTATCATCAAACTAACTCAAGTTTCATTATACAACATCATTTACAGTCACCAGTATCAAACTCATCACCATCCAATCACAGTTTCAATCCCATCACCAACTTCACTTTCCAAAACACCACTCTCACCAAACTCCATCGCCCATCTCGTACGACTCGAAAGCCTCAGCCAATTCATCACACATTCGGTTGCATCATTACCATCATTCAAAAGATGACTTCAGAGGACGCCATATCAGCGACTAAATACGTCATAGGCACAATGGTGGTCACACTAGCTAGCTGCGCCCTATTCGCCATGATCTTAAAACTAGTCTTGTGGGCATATCCTATCCTATATCGTCGCTCAAAGGGAAAGAAGTCTAGCGGTACTGATATTGAAATTGATGGTCTTGGATTGAATACTACGGAATTAGTAGTCATTTCTATGGCTGTGTTTTGATGGAGGTTGATGTTGGTTGGACGACTTGTGGATGGAGAACTTGTGGATGTATTTTAAGGCTAAGAGGGCTGCTGGCTGGGTCTTATTTGGATTGTGGAAACTTGGATACTTCATCCCATCGAGAGCTTAAGAAAGATTCATTGGACTCAATCAAATCTTTCTCTCTCGTGACAGATCGTCGCCCATATGCCCAGTGTTGGACGCACTAATTGAAGGTTTCCAACATCGTAACGACTGGAGGCGCAACCTCGGTTTTCGTGCGAATAACTAAGAGTTAGATGATGAATATTAACCCGTTAGCAAGACATATAAAGCAACCGGCAATGAAATGGTAATTGTTCACTTGAAGGCAGTTGATACATATCAGCTTCCATCACCGACGACAATATTATGAGAATAGAAAATTAGAAATTAGAAACAACGAACATATGCCAACTAACATATCCCATATACATCAATGTACATTGAGAAAAAATCATGTGTCAGCGGCTGAAACTACCAGCATTGAGTGGTGTGAAGAAGCCATCAACGAACATCCATGATTGTGACGTCAGAGCAAATTCAAGATAATAATCCAAGGGTCTAGAATCAAAATACTCAAAACTCTCACGCTTTACCCGGATCCCAAGTTAAACTTTCAACACGCATTAACATCGAAAGGATCATCATCACCGCAATCGCAATGTCATCAACTACTAGTTCCTACAAATCCAGCAAACACCACGAGCTCGCACCGTCTCGTACAGCCCTCACGATCCCAGCCATAGCTCCACCAAATGGGAATTATTCCCACTCCAACACGATTCCATCTTCAAGATCTATAGTGTATCTCAGTGGGTTTATGGGAGATTTACCCGGCGACGGACGAATAATTTCAGGAGGGGTGGCCGCGCAAACTACGCAGATTATGAGGAATCTGAAAGCAGTTTTGGTGGCCAGTGGGAGTGGATTAGATAGGATCGCGCAGAGAAGAGTATTTTTGGTGGATATGGGAGACTTGAAGTAAGTTCTAATTTAATCTTGCCTGGAAAGGAAGAGGATAGATCCGGGGTTGCGATTGTTGTTGTGGTATGAGAAATGTTGGGAGAGGAAGAGGATAGGAGAGAATTTCCGCTGACCATAATAAATTAGAACTGTAGATAGAATCTGGGGGGAGTGGATTAAGGAACCATTTCCAGTGAGCACCTGTGTGCAAATTGTAAGGTTGGTGAAGGAGGACGCAAAAGTAGAGATTGAAGTTGTTGCAGAAACAAAATGAAATGAAAGGCCATTGCCAATTGTTCCACTGATCCTGAACGTACTCAATCTGGAGATCAAACACTGCCTTGTGAATTGCGAAGTCTAGATGAAGTTTGCTTTCTCCGGATGATAGATCCGCATCTTTCTTCGTTGAACTTGTATGACAAGAGCTGCTACTCAGCTTCCTTTGTTGGCAAAGTGGAAACCTCTACATGACAAGATTTGGACTTATGAACGTAATTGAAGGATGTAAGAAAAAGAGTAGATCGTATTGTATATTCCGCATGCAGTAACTACTCCATCGAATCCGAATCCGATGGCTATACGACCTTTGAAATATGGAATTCGTCTATACAGTGCGTACTGAATACATATCACTTAACAATTTCCAACTTCGACCCCTCCATCCTCTCCAACCTGACATCTGCAATCAACAGTCTAATAGTTGATTTTTCTCAACTCCCGAAGAAAGGTATTCGGGGTTCAATTCATGTGGACTCCGCAAGACATCAAAACTGGACGACAATTCCTTGCAAATGTCGGAGCACTACTCCCGTCAGTCAAAACGAAGTCATCGCCACTAAAATTCCTCGGTGGACGGAAGACCTCTTACACTAAATGTACGGAACATCACACCAGAAATTGTGACGGTTTTGGCTAGGAACGCAAAGCAAAGCCAAAGGAATGCTTAGGCTTTCTTATACAAGAACTTCGTGGAAAATCGGCAGAGCCAAAATTTACAGCTGTTTTTGGTGCACGAGAGCCGCATTTCATGCTTGAGATATGGCCGATAGTATCTGACATGGAGTATCTCGAGGATGCAAACATATGGGGAGAAATTTTGCTTGAAGAACTGAAATAAAGCAAGTCGGCAAATATAATGGAGGGAACATATAATTTTCTTGCACGACAAGGTGGGTTGTCTTTGTATAAGATTTATGGTACGAATTATGGGAATTTGCTTTAATAGAACGTTAGCATGCCTAAATACATGTCAGACTGAGCATCAACCTTCAATCCTCAAATATCAAAATCCACATTCTAATTTGCAAATTGCAATAAAATAAACTACAGATGCTCCTAGAATGAAGCTCATCCATAACCAAACGCACAAAGTCGTTGATATATTGATAAAAGGGGTAAAATGCACTACTCTACCATAGACTCGGGGTTTTCCAATAGAAACCCAAAACAATTATACAAATAATAGGAGACATTACCAACCCAGAAACCTTGAAGCCACTGTTGCAGACACATTGTGACATTATCGCCGATTCAAGCTCTGGGTATCGATTATCTATAGACTAATCGATATATAGATCTCAGTACAAAACCCAACGACTGCAGAAGAATAAAAGCAGAGCGCGTCAAATATCGCATGACTACATGGAATATATGAGGTGGTCTACTCGAGTACGTGATGATATACCGTAGCTGCAGCGGCTGTCTGAAATGATTCAAATTATGAATTAATGAGTGTTGGTATATAGGGTCTCGAAAACTTCTTCCAGCATTTTCGTATCTAAAAGAATTATCTGACGAGTTTCGATGGTCGGAGAGGGATGAATATACTGATTGGGGTTGTGGTTAAAGCGATGCGATGCATTTTTTTCTATGGCCAGGTTAATAGGATAAATCTATTTACTTGAGTATCTACAGATGGTTGTGTATAAAACTTTTGGAAGTTACGTGGGGTTTATAGGAAGGGAAACCCACAAAATTGACCGTTTCATGGGCCACGACTTTCACTATACTTCGAGTTTGTAGGTACATGGATCTGATTCCATATGGATATCTATAATCATCTCGCTTTTCTTAACTTGGGTGATATTGATGATGGCATAGGAGTGTTTTACAATGTTGTGGAGACGCAGAGATAGTGGTCGATTTGGCACATGCAGATAACTTTATAAGAATTCGAAAGGACACGAATTAGATTGATCTCCTTCCTTTCATACGGCTAATAATGACTGACATTTACTCAATATCGCCCACTTCGAAATCGAATAGTCCTCGGAGCCAAAGTCGAGTCTCGGCTATCATGATAGGTACGGCCCCTTGCGCTCTTTACCCACTCTAGACAATCTCGCCTACTCCAACACCGCCTCTGGCAAATCTCGAGATAACCTTAATTTCTACTACCTGGTGACTTCATGGTCATCATATAATGTCCTCTGCAGCTTTTGGATGGAAACGTTGCGAACTTTCTCATCATGTCAGTATGAATACTTCCAGTATTGATTTCTTCTTTCATTCGAGTATGCATCGTCTCAATAATTCTAGAGCCTGTCCTTCGGAAGGACTTGCGAGTTCTTGCATATTCTCAAATACTACTTGAATATTATTAGTTGGCTGCCTATTTTTCCAGAAGATACTGCCGCTTGAGGCGCGAGACATTCTCGGTTGTCTATAAATCGTTCCGAGAAACTCTTATGATGACTTGGATTATCAACTTTAGAACTTCGAGCTCCTTGGAACTTCTAGATACAGACAGGATTTGTATTCTGAGCATCCCGAGTCATCTTATTTGCTGCGCCATAATGTCTGCGCCATAATGTCTGCAGAAAAACCTCCCTTTATAATCGTCCATCTCATCCGCCATGCTTCGGTATCGTATCATTACAACATGCTGCTTGCAAATGACAAAGTGAATGTAGCTGACTTTTGAATAGTCAAATTACAGAGAAGGTGGCAAGGACTTTGGGTTATCTTCCAAAGGAGAGCGACAATGTGATGAACTCTACGAGAGTATGCGAAAAAATGCCAAACACATCACGCATATCTTCTCCTCGCCCATGAAACGATGCATAGACACTGCTCGGAAGGGACTCCGCCAGGCGATAAATAGAGGTATTCTCATTAAACCCATGCCTGCGCTGGCAGGTCGCAATGGACGGGGAGGCTGGTCTTTACAAGAGAATAACGAAAAGAATGAAGGCAATGGGTCCTGGGTTATAAAGCCACCAGATTTTAGACGGAAGGAAACAGAGGTGGAATTTGTCAATAGATGGCTCAAGGGCCAATGTTTGCCTTTAAATGAGGCGCAAAAAGTTCTGGAGGTTGTAGTAGTGAGTCAAAGCCAGCTACTAAGCGAGCTGAGCAAAAAAAGAAGATGTAAGTCCCTTGGGATATTGTACCGACCCACACACCATTGAAGTGTGCTAAATATATTATAGAGAGCCATGGGTGGCCGAATGCGAAGATATTCACCTATTCGATCGCCAGAACGGGACACTGGACACATTGCAGCGATCAAAAAAAGGTTGAAAAAAAGAATGTCTGCCAGCAAGAATGGAAACTTGAGATTGAGATCGCGGCAGCTGACAAGAAAAAGGCGGGGAGAGCTATAGAGGAGAAGATAAGGAAGGAGGTAGAGGACTCATTGAAAACCGAGACAGACGGGCTAAACAAGCAGAAGCAGGAATTTCTGGCTAGCCAGATTGAGAGAGAGAAACCCAATAATGAGGCAGAAGAGAAGAGACGCTAAAAGTTGAGAGAACAAAGCTGGACGAGCAGACGAAAGATCTATTAGTTGATCGGGCTAAAATGCAAACAATTGAAGAGGACTGGAGAAATCCGTTTGAGGCCGAGAAAGCGGAGTTAGGCAGGACAAGAGCGATGCTTATAACTTAGAGAGCAAAGCTAGATGAGAAGATGAAAGGTTTGTTAGCTGAGCAAGCTGAAATGAAGAGACTCAGAGAAGAGTGGAGAAGTTCAACCAAGGCTGAGAAGGCAGAGTTGGACAGGGCAAAAGAGACGCTTGGAGCTTGGAGTGTAAAGCTGGACGAGAAGATGAAAGGTCTTTTAACTAAGCAAAATGAATTAGAAAAAAACAGAGAAGAATGGAGAAACTCAACCAAGGCTGAAAGAACAGAGTTGGATAAAGCAAAAGAGGCACTTGAATCTGGACGAGCAAAACTGGATGATCAGATGAAAGGTGTATTGACTGAGCAAGCTGGATTGGAACGTTTCAAAGAAGAATGGAGAAATTCAACCAAGGCTAAAAGAACAGAGTTGGATGAGGCAGAAGAGGTACTTACAGCTGGAAGAGCAGAACTGGATGAGCAGATGAAAGGTCTATTAGTTGATCAGACTAAGATGGAGAAAATCGGAGAAGAGTTCAAAGAATCAATCGAGGCCGAAAGGGCGGAGTTGGAAAGGCAAAAGCAAGACTTGTTGGATAGCCAGGCTAGCTATACACACGCCATGCTTCATTTAGGTTTGCTCGAAGACATAATCGTGGATTGCGAGACCAACAAATCCGTCAAATACGCGAGGTTGGAAGAACTACTGAAGCAACAGGACTTGGGGGACTTATCAGCAGCCACAAATCCAGTTAAAGATACAGCAGAACTTCTTTTAGACAACCGCGATTTGAAGAGACGGGCTGATGATTCCATGGAGACGGGTCCAGCTGCTAAGAAGAGGAAAATTACAGCACCGGAAATGGCTGCGAATGAGACGAGTATGGCAATCCCGAAGCCAGCCATTGAGCCATCTTCTGCACAGCCGACCGTTGAGATGGCGGCATCTAATATTCCTTCGAAAACGCCTGTGACAACTGGCCACAAGTCGACAACCGAAGTTGAGGACAACACTGCCATCGAGCATGCGGTGAATACGAAATCAGGATCCTCACTATTCAATGTGAACAATTGGAAGAGGGCTGCGACTCCTTTCTTCACTTTCATAGCCTCTATTTTGAATAACCGCGAGGATATATAAAGGTTACATAACAAGAAAAAATCACGATGGTAGAGAGAATGCCGGCATTTCGGACTTAGAAAGGAGGAAAATAAGTGAAGAAAAAGCTCTATGACTTCCGGCTCATAAAATGCCAAGGAATTTATATCCACAGTACTAGGAAAAGAAATGAGAATATCAAAAACAGACTTGTAGCATTAGTGACCGACCCGATAAATGCATGTTCACGACGAGCTCGGGATTACCTCAGTCCCCGGCGAGCTTCACTCCCTCTCATAACTTCAGTCATAATATAGACGCCGCGAGGTCTTTATTATATTCGCACTCTTGGGGAGTCTCATATACTTATATAGCTTTCACCATGAGGCCAACCAAGTGCGCGTGAGCTTCGGCATATCATTCGCGATCAGCTCCACAGGCGGACACCGCAATTAAAACCAGCAACGACAATCTCGAACCGAGTCTCGGGATCCTAATTCAATCAGCAAGTCATAGTCATTGATTAGCTGTATGGTATTGCACCGGGTAGCACAGAATAAATGTTAGTGTCGTTAAGTTTCTAGCTCTAGCTTCGGTTCCACGTTATAGTGCCACGATGCGCTAAACTAAGCCCTGGGAGCACTAATTCAATGCTTAAATTACCCTAAGCGCTTATCTTATGGGGCTCAAGATTTTTCGCAAACTGTGATATAATATTTCTAAGGAATATATACGGAGTAGCATCAGGAAACGCGCATGATAGGATCAAGCAGTGTATGCTTTGAGAGTGGGATTCTGTGCCCTTCACTGCACTGCCTTGTAAGTATACCAGGGCTGTGTTTGAGGATTGGGTTCCATTGGAGGCTGATTTCAGTCTTTGCAATGTCTGATGGGTGAATAGTAAGCACTATGTTTTGTAGGAGCGGCTATACGTAAAGTTTCGTATGTGTTGGATTTAATCTATGACTTCCTGTTTGTTGAAAACAAATGAACTTTTCTCCATCTTACAATTCAGCATTCTCTGTTTTGATTTTCCAGTTTCGTTGAATTTTCGTACCTTCATTCGGGAATTCATGAAAGCATCACAAAAATGAACACCAACGCTCGTCGACGAGGTGCGAAAGTAGCTCCATCCCACTATCCACGAATATCTTTCCATGGATTACGTTTTGCGCAATTGATCTCGGCCGCGATTGTGGGAGGCATCATGGCGTATTTTATGTATTATCTGCGTATGTATATGCATCTCTTTCTAGATGGATATTGTGAGAGAAATGCATGCTGACATGCGGTTAGGTTTTGAGAGATTCCCCGTCCCATGGACATTTGTTGTGCTACTTTCGATATCGCTGGGGACGGTTGCGATTCTGACGCTTACGATCATTCTCTACAATTTCACGTATTTGTCGCCGAAGTTTAATTGTTTGCTTAATGGTACGACGTCGATTTTTTGGATACTAGGGCTTGGATTGTTGAGTTGGAGTCTCAGTAATACGTTGAAGAAGAGTTGTGATGTGCAGACTTGGAGGAGCGGCACGGCAGTTGGCGTCTGTAGGGAATACAAGGCGCTTTGGTCTTTTACATTGATTGGGACGTTATCTACATTGGCGGCGCTGGGCTTGGATATTTGGACACACACGAAGACTACAGAGAGGGGTGTTTATGTCTTGCCTGAGGATGACAAGAATGCGGCTTTGTTGAAGGATATGAATGGTGGGAACGGTAATACAAAGGGGTATGAGGCCAATCGAGGAGGAGATTTTGAGGAGGAAATTGATATTGCTTACCATAATCGATATGGTGATGATGCATCGGAGAGCGAGGGATACCATGACAGAGGGCTTTACAAATGATTGTAAAGGAGGCAGAGTGCGGCAATGAGGATGGCTAAGATGGGAGAGAGGTTGTATGAACACAGCACAGCTCGGCTGGTCAATCGGAATGGATATCTTAGGAGATGCTACATGTTGGTGAGATTGCGTAAAATAAGACAGAATAGCATAGCTCCGAGTAATACGGTTGTTAGTAAATCATAAGCAAATTATCATCGCGGAAGACCTAACAGGGTCGCCTCTTTTCCGTTTCCCTCCAAGGAAGATACTCAATCTTGGCATCTTACAAGGCTCATCTAAGCTTCCTCACACTTGTGATAAGAGCACAAAGGCAGCTTATTATGTTCTTATGGTTCCATTACATGTCTCACGAAATGAACATCTCCATGGAATTTATTACTAATGCTCATTCTTAAGTTCCGCTTTCCGCGGCAACAATCGTAAGATCTCACCCAATAAGTTTCTTTCCGTTTCGAATGGCTCCTAATATGTTCAATGGCCGATACCTGGGTACCTTGTCATGATTCGTCAGACAAAGACCTAAAACGAATACCGCAAACACGAATCACGATATATAATCTGCAGCGTTGGATTTATCAAGTATTTTTAACATCTCTATCAATCGAAGCTTGCAATTAGATATCGGAATCTTTATTGATATAAGCGGTCAGGCAAAGGGAATAGGCATGTCGAGAGCACCGTGTTTCACTACTCTGGGTCTAGATCTCTGCAAAATGTAGATACCAACAAGTGTCAGCGCATGATTGGAATCTAGAAATTCATATATTGAAAAGGTATAGATAGTGGTGAGATTGATGACCGATCAGTATTATAGTATTATGATATCAAGGAGGCAAACCACCAATGTACCATGTTGTTGGCCAAAGAGAGTTTCCAAAACAACAAGGTAGGTCATATTGACTGATTCGTTCTATGGAAATCTTACGGAAAAGCATAAGACTGCCGGCGGAGTTTTTCCGCATTCCTATAGGGCTGCAACATAGCGATCACAGATTCTTCTCGGTGATCCCTAGCATAATATGATTGGTTGGTTCGGTTGATGGGGAGAAAGGAGAAAAGGAGTATTACGGTATGCATATCCATACGTCGCCTCAGGTTAATTCACTTATAAGTCTTCCCTGACAAATCATGTTTGATCATAGGTTACCAAGAAATCGGATTACCTTTTGAATAATTGAGCCAACTTACTTTAGTAATACTGGTCAGCCGTGGCCGGATTTAAGCTTTCTGTCAAGTGATTGGATCTGTGCCGCGGGTATCATATAGTTTGATCTACTCGAGTAAGTGGTGTTATGATATGCTTAATCGCGCCTGCATAGCTTTAATCTGACATCCTGATGGCAAATTTGACGTGTTTTGACCGCAGATGGCATGGGTGAGCAGAAGACGGTCAGGTCAGCATTACCCGCATCATCACATTATTGAAGCCTTCGAAAAGTGACGACGATTTAACAAGAACAGAAACGGATAATTAACACCTTGAGATTCTTTTGATGCGCAATAGTTCATCTCTATTAGACATTATACTTGTTCGCTGCGGACATTGTGAAGTTTTATACTACGGATATTACGCCTTGATTCAGATAACCCTGCTCATTTTGCCAAGCACGATTAAACTTAACTTCTTCAATTAAAGCATACTAGATAAAGTTCTATGTCCAGCTACACTTCTTCCTCAGGGCCGAGGACGACGATTATAAGGCCATCAAAGAAAGTTGGGGCCAAGTCACCACATCGATATCGAATATGTGGAACCCCCGTCCGAACGGGTTGTAGGACTTGCAAGTAAGTGAAACTTCGTTGGAGCTCCTGTGACGATTCCACTCACCTTCATCATAGGATTCGTCGGGTCAAGTGTGGAGAGGAGAAGCCATTTTGTATGAGATGTACTTCCACTGGACGAAATTGTGATGGATATGAGGTCTTCACAGATCTGAAAAAACGGAATGTTACAAAGACACAGCCTTCCATATCAGAAGGCGTGCAGTCTACTACTCTCGACGATCCCCTAGAGTCGATTATGCTAGATTTCTTTCGTAGACATACAGCAGCCGAATTTGCCGGAGACTTTTCCACCGAGTTTTGGGAAAAGAGGGTGTTCCAAGCTGCTACCATCGAACCATCAATTCGTCACGGTATTCTCGCATTAGGTGCCATCCACAAGAATTACACCGAAACTTATCAGAAACCACAGACACTAACTGAAAATCCAACAAAAGCTTTCGCTTTCCGTCAGTACACAAAGGCCATTCAAATATTACGTAAATCGATAGTCCGCGAGCCTCACTCACTAGACATGACATTAATCTCATGCGTTTTATTCATCTGTTTCGACTGTCTCATAAGCGATCAAGCCGCAGCACTAGTACATCTCAAATCCGGTCTCAAGATCATCGACAACATACACGCCACGAACGCCCCCTCATCCGTGGCAGCACAATGTGCACGGGACTATTCTCCACTATTATTAGTACTCGGAGGACAAATAGCAGCATTCATTAACCCCCAAGCCGGAGTGGACCGCGGAGCATTCTGGGCCGCGATGAAACGAGCGGGTTGCCCAACCTCTCAGTTCACGCCCTTCCAATCCCTAGAAGAAGCTCGCTATTCCCTACGAACGCTGGGAGCAGACATACTGCATGCGCGGCACACCAATTGGAACTACGTGACGGAAGAAATCGTTACCAGCGAGTTTGGCCCCATGATACGAAGCCATTATATGGCGTTGGAAAATTGGTCCAATCGTCTCAACGCATTTATTTCCAGGACGCCCAATAATCCGGACCCCAATAACAGCACACCCGCAAAACCCATCCGGAACCGCGGCGTCTCGCTGCTTAAAGCCCATCATCTCCTATTCTCCATGAATGCGGCGGAACCGCATATCCCGGGGTCTAAATTTGAAGAAATGCTCGATTTGTCCGAAGCGTTGGTGAAAGAAGATAGAGCGTATTGGGGTGTGCAATCAATGCCGAGATTTATGGTCGATACGGGACTTATTGTTCCGCTGGTGTATACGGCGGTCCGCAGTACGGATGTGAGGCATAAGAGGAGAGCGATAGAGATTTTGGCTCAGGCGCCCGGGAGAGAGGGGTTGTGGGATACGCAGAGTGCGGTTCTTATTGTGGAGGGGGAATTGGCGGCTGTGGGAGATCGGAGTCCGAGATTGCAGATTCCGTATTTTCATGATGAGGGGGAAGGGAATCGATGGAGGAAAGGGTAATTTTGTTACTATATAAGGATCACGTGCTAGCTGGCTGATCAGCGATATCAGTGAGTCAGCCAGGAATTGAGAGTCAGCTGATAACTGATTGACTGACTGATTGTCCACTCTGAGCCTGCGAGGGGGAGAGAATGAGTTGGGTGTAGGTGTGGTCTGTTAGATAGATTGTAATGTAGATTGCTGTTTCTCATATAATATAGGTTGGTTATTAATCGGTCAATATGGCATGTGTATGTATATCTTTCATTGCGTGACATTTATCGATTTGGCTATTACGAGTATCATCTCAATCGAGATATACTCGAATATATGTCGGTAAACATAAGCCGAACGATAGCGTGTTTCTAAAGGTTTCTGGAAAATCATCGACAATGACACAGTTCCATTTGAATTATGGTTTCTAGATTTCAACACCAATTTTCTCTAACATGTGGTTGGTACCTGGAACATTTTAACCAGGTCCTCGTACCCCCAACTCAACCAAGCAAATAAAACCCTTAAGCTATCTTATCACCTTCCCCCTAAAGAAAACAGTCAACATTCCATTATAATGTGGCAGTTGCCATCCATGCAACCCGAGACTTGAATAAATTGATGAGCCAAAACAAAATATCAATAACCCAGTATCTTATATGCAATCTGATATCGATTTAAACACAGAAATCGTTCCATACATATGTTCAAGTTTCAAGTGATTGTATGAAAGAATCCAATATCGAACTTTACAGAATTATAATATAAGAACCTGGTATACGTAGTACCAAACGTGGTTTTATGTAGAGGAGCTAGGTTAGGTTATCTCCGTAGGGTTGACAGTGATAGGGGATTTGACGAGAAAGGGGGTGGTGTCGGATCGGGAGATAAGGTTGAAGGTTATCTAGATATGCTCTATACTTGTGGAATATCTAGTTCTAGGCAAACTTGCAAACTAGCGACCTAATGGATTCGTATCAATTCGATTGTACTCAGTATAACATGGGCTTAGCTAATGGGGATATTGTGCATAATAACGATATTCTGTGCAGTGATCTCTGGTATAAATACTTGCATCTCCAATACAAGGGTAGCACATAAATATGCGGTGTGCCTACCCGTCCATCAATATCTGCATTGAACCGATTGCGAAGTATTCAACATCCAATCATAGAATACAGTTATGGTGTAGCTCAGGTTCAGTGGAGTTGCAGCGCATAGCATATCCTCGTTATACACTCAGTTTCACATGTTTGTCCGAAAAGAAATCGTATATTGTAGCTCATTCTATCATCAACCTCTTATTAGATCTAAAAATTAAATAAGTATAAAGAGCAAAAGATAATCTTGAATGTGTTTCTATATTTTATTTTATTTAAAAACAAATTCGTTATTATAGTTAAAATCATGCTTTTTGGACACACGTTATGAACTCAAGTGTAACGTGTCTTGGCACATGGAACCTGCAGCTTGCAAATTTCCAACCACAGCACTTAATGAGCTTTTCGGCCCTGTGTTCTACAATACTACACGGAAGGATTCGATTAGTCTTTAGACTTGCTACCCGTTTTGCTGTCTGAGAAACTACTACGCATATATGTTTCATCATGGCGTATTCTGTACAACATTCTCAGCCTTATCGTACTTGTACAGTTACAGTACGGCTTTTTTTTATATCATTAATAAAGATTTCGAGACACAATTGAGGTCCAGACTCGAATTCGAAGCTACTGTATTCTTATCTTAAGCGTGTCTCGAGATGGCGGCAAGGTTTTCGAGGTTATTTGATGATTGGGACCAGGATCATGGGGATATAAATATGCTAGAGTTTGGGTAAGAGAAGCTTAATTTTCATCTTGGTTTTGTTTATTTTGGCGCCTTGACTGAGGGGAATAGTTTATTATCAGATGGACGTTTTTGGATTGATTGAATGTTTGCTAATGGCTCATTGCTTGATATTGATAGTTCCAATATTAACCAATCACCACCTGACTATCATTCTTCGCACAATAGTTCGGAATATACATCCTACTCAGCAAATATTTCCGAAAGACCAGAACCAATACTCCAGCGACAGGAATCCACTACACCGTTCACACCCTTCGATGATGGTATATCATCACGACGTCTACTGGACGGTAGAGGTAGCTACGCCTCTAGTTTTAGTCCATCTCTTCCCTCCGCCCACGATTATCAAGCCCTGAAAGGTCTCGGCCGCGATAGTCTCACGGAAGATTCACCTCCTAGTGAAGCACGTCTGCGGAAAACTTCTGGCGTAACTTTGAATATGAAAAGGATATGGACGAAATCAACAGCTTTTGCCAAGCCCCGCCCTTCATCTACGTTTGATGGTCAGTTTGCACAGGGGAAAGATGGATGGTGGAAGAAACAAATGTTGGTGGATCGCAGTTTGCGGTCCATGGCGGGGTTTACGTTTCTTTGCGCAATCATTATGTTTATAATTATGATGGTGTATTTACCTGCTTTTTATCATCGGTTGAACAAAAACAGTACGAGTATGGGTGGAAAAGACGGGGAAGGTTGTGAGAGTATGGAGAGAAGAAATATCGTGAGTGGGATTGGGGATTGTTATACATCGGAAAGCTCGCTAATGGCATCTGTAAATAGGCCGCTCGTTTTTTTATTAGTATTGCAGCAACGATGGTTTTAGGTTGTTCAAACACGTATCAACAATTGGCCACTGCTCCAGTCGTGGAAGAAATTCCATACATCTTGTCAAAACGAGGGGATTGTATGATAGGTACGAACTCACCGAAAAACATTAACATTAAACAATCTGGAAAGGTAAAAGCTTGGGGGTTGTGGTTGTTACTTATTTGCACTTCGATTGTATGTTTCCATCCAACTTGGATACTATAGGAATAGTTTTATTGATTCCTCCCTCTACAGCCGGTTCATTTTCTCACAAACTCAGTCATTGGACCATCATTTTATATCGAGATGCCGACCAATGTTAGCTACTTCTACAATGCAACTTTCACTCTGGGTCCCTACGATTATTCCTTCAATAATGTTGATTCTCTGTCAAATTATGATTCTGCTTGTGTAAGTCAAATCCTTTAATCGCCAAATAAAAAAATATTTGAAACTAATGTTGAATAGTGGACTGCTTTTAGAGCCGGGTTCTATGTCTTGCCTCGCGACATACGTCAATTGAGTAATCAATACAACACTCTTACTCTCAAGAATTCGAGTATGTACTCTCAATATCTAGACTCACATATAAGACTCACAAATGACATCCAGCATCCTTCAAAACCGTATCTGTTACATACAATCAGAATTGTACGACATATAAAGGAACGGCAACTGTCGATGAAGCGCAAAAGGAGGTCGACTACGCTTCAACGCAGAGTTCTTATGGCCTGTATGTGAAAGGAAATTGCGCCTTGAGACAAAATGTTTATTGTGAACTGGAGGATCAACAACCAAGCAAATGTCGATTGAATGTTCGAATGCAAGCTTGTTTTAGTACGTATCCACATGCTGAATTTTGGAAGAAATAAATTGACAGTTACTAGCACTCTTCGGATGTCTTCTGATCAAAGCCATGTATATGATAGGGCTGAATTATCGTGCGAGACATAGGGTCAAAAATCACTGTCTGACATATGGTGATGTGATCATCTCCTCTGTCATAAATCCGGAATTGAAGATTCATGATGAATGTGCACTCAATTCTTGAGATGGTTATCGACATAAGGTGGTGCATCGTTGTCATAAACATTGTAAAGATCCAGTTCCTTCGATTACTGGTGATGATATAGGTCACTGTCAGGTAAATTCATGTACCATTTTTCTTCTCATCCAAGACTAATTGCTTTTCTCTTCACAGAAATGCAAAAGATTCAACGAAATTGATAAAGCCGCCGGTGAGATCCTTTCTCTGCCATAAATCCCATCGCATCCTACATCTAACATGTTTACCTATCCTCAGATCTGCTACATCCAAGTATAGCAATAAAATACAAACGATCACTCCTATCCAACCTTGGTTCAACTGCCATACCCCAAATGATAATCCTCATGTTCTGTTCCTTCGCCATGGTCGGCCTCTCCATAATTATCATTACCGCCATGGCCAACACTGCGTCAAACTACCACCCCAATTGTGCGCAGTCCAACAAGACCAGCCCTAACCACGGCATCGGCTGTGATGCCAATATCTCCAAGGTCCTCGAGCATTACTACGGAACTTGGGGAGGATTTTCCTCCAGCGCTACATTGGCATCTCTACCATCTGATAAAATCAGCAGTGAACTACTAGCCTTTGTTATTTCCAACGGCGCGCAGTTTCTTTTCAGTCTTCTCTATTTATTACTCATCTACAACGTCACGCTCATATCCATGGAACACGAATGGGGCACCTTCGAACTGCACCGTCGCAAGCCCCGCGCCACAATCGTATCTGGTACTCCCTTTGAACAATCCTATTTTCTACAACTTCCCTCCAAAGTTCTGCTCCCTCTCATGATGTTCGCATCAGCTATGCATTGGCTACTAGGCGAATCCGTATCGACGATCGAAACCATCTACACGGATCCCGCATATGGAGTCGAACACTCGGTCTATTTTGTCACTTATGCCTCGTACCCCATTTTTCTTAGTACGTTGTTGATGGTGGGGCAGACGGCGATTTGTTGGTGGACCTTTACGTATCGGAGGGAGGGATTTATTCCTCAGATGTATGGGAGTATTAGGGCTTGTTGTGCTAGTACGAGTGAGTTTGAAGATTTTGGGAGGGATGGCATTCAATGGGGGAATTGTGGGTTCTTCTTTCTTTGAATTGGTTGTTTCTTTGGACTCGGTATATTTGGTGTAAAGATGGCTAACATGAGGATATAGTGGGTATGGGTGCCAAATTTAGACATGCAGGCTTTTCGACTGATGGTCAGCTTTTTCTCTCCCTCCTCCATTTTTCATTTCTTCCTACGATTTTTACCTACTAACTAGATATCCAATAGAACCAGGCAAAATCGTACCCGGAGAGATATACTGCGGTCGTGGTTGATATACTAAGAGATACTCGATTTATAATTTTAGTTGGATCCTGAAGACACGAAGCAATGTATAGGGGCTTATATATAGGTCTTGGAGAGTTAGATGTTATCTATTCTATTTGTGATTGAGACACATATGTTATATATACAAATTGGTTTATACAAAGTAATCATTTGGAGTTGGAAATAAGAGAAAATTAAGTTATCGTAAAAAAGATTCAATATAAAATCTTACACTTACTTTTGAATACTTGATCGAGCATGTAGTTTTGAACTCAAAGAAAGTATCCGCACTTGATTCATGTTGCACTATCTAAGAGTGCCTATTGTATTCTTTTCTAGATCTCAATAGATATCTATTTGACTATTTAGTCCACTCTAGACCCATATCAATCTACTTACTAATAATGAAATGTATAGTGTCACACTTTGCTATTCCACCTTATCTTATCCCAAATACTACTAGAATGTGTGGACTAGAAAGAGTGATTCAATCAATTAAAATCATGTCCATGTCCATATCCATACCTAATTGGACCGACGACCCTGACCCCTGAATGTAAGATTGGATTACTACGTCATTTTATTGATAAGGGGCTGGGGTCGCTTACAGGGGGGATGGTTTCAAAGTTGGCAGTGAATAATCTGGTTTACCAGTAAGATTTGGGAAAACTGTTTGTTGTGAGATGATACTGTATTGTGAATAGGGCAGTAATCTATGATGGATTCAGTAGTGCTGTATATAGAATAGTAGTAATAGTAATAGTAGAAAAATAAGTTCAAACCCCTTGCGCTAAATAAGTTTATGGCGCTTCCCCATCATTCGCTAAAGTAGCTGATGTTTGACATGTATCATCTTTCTATATTCACTTCCATTTTCGGTATCCTTGTTTTGGGCATAGGTATATATCGTTCAAGGTAAAAATACAAGTATGACGACAAACTCTATCCAGATATCCAAATACCACCTTGCAAAAGTTATTTCCCTGTTTATATTTTTTAGATATCGGCAAAAGCAAGATATGCATGCGATATGCAACCTAACAACCAACGCACCACTAGACTTTTTAAAGCTTCAGATAATTCTGAGAATCCCCTTCTCTTTTCAGTACTTTCTTATTGTCACTTTTACAACCTATTAAAAGACTGAAAGTAGAATCAAATAAACTTACGACTTCTTTACTCCCCCATCTTATTACCTCTCACTCATACAATACCTACTCATCACGAATTTAAATCTACAAAGGCAGCAGAATTCATACCTCAACCAAAACATCCCATAAATACTACCAACGCAGCCTAAACCAACTCAATACAATATCCAAGCATCAAAATGGCAACCGGAATCCTCCATCACATCGGCACATTCCTCCTCTTCGCATCCGCCATTCTCCTCCTCATACCTACTATTTCCGCTCCCGTTATTAAAGATATCGCATTGTTGAAGGTTACAGGAATTCAGTCGCATACTTCGGTGATTTCGTTTGGGACATTTGGATATTGTGTTTTGGGTGTTGATTCGTAAGTTCCTTTTATTTTTGATATCTTGGTTCTCCATTCTGTCTTTATCGATAGTATGAGTTGAATTAAATCAATTTGAAATGAAGAAAATAACTAACACCACCAAACAGAAACCCAAACCAGTGCACCAAAAAACACATCGGTTACAACCCCGCCTCCACAATCTCCACAATCTCGACCCCTTTCTCCACCGCGTCCGAAAATACTTCAAAAGCCCTAACTCGCGTAATGATTCTCCATCCCATCGCCTGCGGCCTAATGTTCATAGCCTTTCTGCTCGCTCTCGGCGCTAGCATTATTGGTTCTTTCCTCGCGGCTCTAGTTTCGGGTATTGCGTTTGTGGTTGCGCTGGTGGCTGTGGCGTGCGATTTTGTTCTTTTTGGGATTGTGAAACGGCATGTGAATTCGAATGGGAGTGTGAGTGGGGAGGGTGGTCATGCGTCTTTTAGTGCAGGGATTTGGTGTTTGGTGGCCGGGATGGTGGTCGGGTTTTTGGGGGCGGGCTTGGTTTTTGCAACGTGTTTGAGTAAGAGGATTCATGGGAGGAAGAGTGGAAGGACGGGGATGGGAGGCGAGAAGGGGTATGTGGGGGGTGTGAGGCCGGCTAAGAGACATTTTTGGCAGAGAAGAAATCGGTATTAGAGGTAGAGGGGTGATTTGATGTTGGATGGGTTGAGGTTGGGATATCGAGGAGGATTTAATAGGAGAGTGTGGTATGTGGATTAGGCGTTAGGATTATTGGTGTTGGTTAGGGAAGGAAGGAAAGAAGGAAACTTTCCATAATGATACGACGGCTACGACAATTCCTTTCCTGGACTTTGTTCTTTGTTTTGTGCGAGAGATACCATACCATACATACTACAGGGGCGCTGGGGTTTCCTCTAGTTCACTTTACTCTTCATAACAGCGACATCGATCGCGGTAATAATACATACTAGCCTATACAGTCAATTTTCAAAAATCTTATGACTTCAGAAGGTCACGGTTGTATAGTCTAACTTAACGAAATGACTTATACCCAACTTATCAGTGGTCACTATCATGTATTATAACTTAGTAAAAAGGACAACATATCATTAATTCCTAGTGAATCGCAGGCTGGGTGCGGGCATACGGGGATGCAAGTAGATTACTTTATCGAGGAAGGGTTCTATGCTTGGATCGTCCAGGTAAATGTTGGTTGTTTATTTTCGGAGACATTTATATCTGAGGATATTGTTCTGCCTATAGAAGGTAATACATTGATCGCATCTGATTATATACAAGGCAGCCATGTTTTTGAACTATTGTCTCGTATTTCTTTCATCTTTCTTTATCATTTCAGATTGATAGTCAAGAGTTCTTGTCCAAGATCCGGAATTCGAGCTCACTATACGAGTGATACTATAGTGTGACAATGTAACGCAGTAGGATGTCTGTGGCATGTTACGAAAAGACCTTCTGTTCATCGTCTCCGAACTGCTAATTGTCAGAAAGTGTCGTATAATATTAAATTTAGGGGTTCGCTTAATCACGCTTGGAGATTTTGAGGGGAAGAAAGAACAGGAGAAGAAGCATAACACTTACAGAACCCCATCTAACTTTCTATTTCCCCTGCGTCATCAATTCTTCCAAGTTCCAACCACTGTCCTACTTCTCCTCAACCTCATACCCTCCATATTTAACCACTGTTATCTCCAGCCACTCCTCGTTCTATAGCAGATGAACACTAGTATCCATATCCACAATTAAGACATTAATCCACAGCCTCTTTGTTTGTTCCTCGCTGAATTTCTCTACCGTAGTTCCCAGTGCCGCATCTATGTATGTATTTGTCTGCCCTCATTTATATCCTGTATAGCGCGTTCGATGGTTACATGTGCGTCTCACATATCCGGAACTTCTGTATCGCCATCTCTATCTGAATCTCCTGCAAAAGTTCTCCATACTATAAACATATGTGAGGACAGCTTGTAGTGCAAATACTTATTCATCTGTCACGTTCTAATCCCTGCCTGAGTCGGTCAACACTACTGTGAATATCGCTGGAATCCTCATGAGCTCCATTTTTTTGTGTGACTATCGTAGAACTATAACTACCTACAACGATGCCCTAAACCTGTCTGCCAGGACGTAGAAGTTTTAATCCTAACAAACAGATCAGATTCCATAGACATTTCGGATACTTCCGAGATTCCATCATTGCTAGTGATATCTTGTTGGCCTCGAAAGAACCTAACATTTTGAATACTTGGCGCATTGGAGCTCGTTGATTCATCTTTTTTCAAAGTAGACGAGACGACTGGATGTCTAGAATTGGGAAAAATGTTTTGGACAACATCCCGATCATTCCACGAATAGTTACAGTGTTATGAACCAGGGAGGGGGTCAATAAATACCGCCCAGATCTTATGATTAGGTATTCTGTCATTCGTGTCGCAGCCTCTGATCTTGATCATTTCGTTCAAGGATGGCCCTCACGATACGTATGCTTCTTCCCAAGGCCTCATATCCGGGGTCACTAGCCCTGCGCTGTACCCATTGGCATTACTGTCATCTTGTTTAAGGCAGGGTATTCAATTGTTCGGACTATAGTCCAATTAGAGTCCAATGTTTGAAATGTTTTGATCTTTGAAAACAATTGAATAATTTCAAACAATTTATTAATTCAGATATGCTTGATAATTGGAATCTTTCAATATTTCAAATCAAAATAATATTTGAGATATATTCGGGAATTAAGAATATCTTATTGTTAGACTATAGTCTGGACAATTGGATACCCTGATTTAAGGGGGGAAGGCACACTTTGGGCAATCTGTAGATTCTTGACCCTCCACCAATATCGGAATATGCACCCATGTGGTGTACATTGACAGTCTTCAATCCATATCACATGTTGTATTCGGCCTAGCCGTAGTACAATAGCGATGCTTGAATGTCTTCCGAGCAAAACCAAGGAACTTCGTGTACAGAGTAAGCTGTTTAACTGTGTGTTCGCAATTGGTAGCATCAATCGGTTCGTGCCACCAGAAACTGTGATCAACGGTGTAACCATTCCATGGTGCAGATCATTCGATCTTCAACACATCTCTTCAACTAACTCATCATGGCTAACTCGATATGTGGTCTACAGGGGTGCACGACGGTAATGTCTCACGACTTCGGAGATTCAAGCTTTTAGGCAAAGGTATCAATGATATGCAGGCTCGTCGACTTGTTCATGGTAATTCCAAACTATTGGACTGTACAACACATAACCACAGAAGTGAAGTACCGGTAAATAAGCCCTACGGTTTGGTGGTCTCAAATTGGTTAGGTAAAGCGTGGGATGCGCTGCCACTCTAGAGAACGCACAGACCATATTGCACATAATTCACCACTTTATTCCACATTAGCAATATCAAACCACCCCCCATCTTTACCCAAATGAGGTTTGCAAGTTGTTGAGAGCTGCAGCCGCTCAGCTCCTTTAATGAAATTTATATTCTTGTGAAGCTATAATAAGAGGTAGAGTTTGGCCAAGTATCTCCTCATTCTCTCAAATAATCGTTGTCTTTTCTATCATTTAACACAATCCTTTCATTAACAATACATCTTATATTACAAGCATGGGCATTATAGTCAAGCTTATCGGATCAGGTGTTGGTCTTGCATCCGAAGCAATCCACCATCATCGAAACAAACCCTTCTCAAACCTTCCGCAGGCTTCTTCAGACAATGGCGAAAGCAGCCGCGCAGGCGCGCAGCTCAGTCACAGCTACAATGATCCGCCTCCTCAATATGTCGAGGTATCTCCCGAGGAAGCTGATAAAATGATGGGAAAAGGCCAAGCTGTGCCAGCAAATGAGAAGGAAAATCACGATTTTGAAAAGGAATGCGACGATGATGATCTCTCTGATACGGACTCTGAGGGAGGGGACGAAGAAGCTTGGGCTTTAGACGAAGCGGCAGATAGTTCTGGCCCAACTCCTCCTTTTGAGGAACCTACTCAAGATGCCAATGGTCTTACCGATACATTTTTGCGGAATCATCCACCTCCAGCATATAATGCTGCGAAGCCGAAACTTCCTTGTCCAGTCATCCTCCCACAACGAAGACCGAAGGATAAGAAACGTGGGTTTATAAGAGCATATGCGCCAGTTTTGGAAGATTGTGGGATTGACCAAGCTACGTTCTTGGAATTCCTAAAAACCTTTTACCATGCGAGTAAATCTTCGCCATGGTTGAATGTAATAAATGCAGCGGCTGGTATTGTCGGCTTTGTGCCGGGCCCTATCGCGATGGGTGTATCAATAGCTACTCAATTTGCGGTTGGTGTAGCTATGGAACTCCAGACACGATCGAGGTTGGTAAAAAGAAGTTTCGATATTGTCAATATGAGCTGATGAATGTTCTGCAGGACGAACACGTTCCTCGATAAATTGAACAATGAGTTCTTCATGCCTCGTGGCCTTTACTGCTTGATACTTACATACAAGCCCGAATCATCAGCAACCCATGCCTTTGTTGATATTAGCAAAGCTATTGCCTCATCCCTTGATGACACAGCCACAGGCTTCAAAAAAACACTGAAACACATAAAACTGTCAAGCGGAACAACATACGGAGAACTCGAAATGCCAGAAGCAGCACCACTGATCTTTCCGGCATTGGATCAAATTGCTGAGCTTGAGGAAAGCGAAAATGTCCAGAAAAATAACAAATTCAAGAACAGTGGAAAATTCGTCACCGATTACTTTGATCGTCGGGCCCAAGCCAAATATGTCAGTCAATTTTCCCTGACTTTCCCCACAAACTTTAACATAATAAAAACAGGCAATGCAATACCCAACCGGGACTCTAGCAACACCGAATCCACGATTTTTCTCCCGTTACTCCGACCCCAATAACCCGGCTAGTAGCGGGTCTCTCATGTCCCTCATCACCGGCGGCCACATCAACACAAAGGCGCGAAGAGTGGAGCGAAGAGCCGCCAGAGAAGAAAGGAGACAAAACAAGAGAATTAGAAAGGCGTACCAGAGAGGAGAAGACATTACTCCAGAGACGGGACTCAGAAGAAAGAGAAACCCAGGTCTTGTTAAGAGGATATTGCAAAAAGTTAGTTTCCCCCTAATTTCCCTGCTAGGACTATTAGGGGGTGCATAGAACTAATTATCTCTAGGAAGTCCTTTACCTAATGATCGTGAGTTATGACCTGGAAAGCCCAGAGTATCAGGCTGGTATGAGGAGTGTTGTGGTGGAGGGAGAAGGAATGTAATGTTGCGCACGTACCATGAGAAATAAATATACCCATAACTTTTCTATCGTTCGTTCCTTCCCCTTTCTACTTAGGAAGCTAGTGGCTCCCATGGTTGCGATTGGACATTACGCGATGTAAATAGGGGATAGTAGTTCTTAATTTTGATGGCCTTGTTTTCAAAACTCGAATTCAACCAAGGAGGGTGACACCACCACACACTGGCATGCTGCTGTATTTAACTCTTGAAGATATATATCTACAAAGTATCTAATATTTAGTCCGGACTATAATCCGATTAACAAATTACAATGTTCGAAAGATCTCTAATCTCTAAAAACAACTTGAAGATATACATCTACACGATATCCAATAGTCCGGACTATAATCTGATTAAATGAATTCCAGTATTCGAAAGATTTCTAATCTCTGAAAACAATTGAATTATTTCAAACAATTTATTGTTCTAAACAAATTTAATATAGGAAATAGTTTGAATATTCTTATTAGTCTCAAAGTAAGTATTTGAAAAACATTCGGAAATTATGAATCTCTTGTTGGGTTTTGGACTATTGGATACCCTGTATGTATATCTATAATTCATATTCGTAGATATTTTGAAGATTTGAAGCCACAAATCGAAGCGACAAATTATATTGAGCGCTAGACTTAGCTGTCCCGATATTGAATAATATGTTTTTCCTTCCGCAAACATGGAATCTACGCGGCGAAACAGTTGTCTTGAAGTCTTCATATTTTGGGTATGTACAGCGGAATTAGAAATCCCCCGAAATCAAATCTAATACAGTCATCTTTGCCCGTACTTTTCTCAAGTTTCTCAGAATAATTCATGGAACCCAATCATATCCATCTACACTCAAACAAGTGATATAAATGTCAAGATCCACCAAAGCCTGAACCCAAACCCAAACCCATCAACACAAGAAATTCCACTGTCTCTTTAACCAAGGCAAAGTAGCCTTGACCCTCCTCTCCTCATCCAATTCCTCTCTAAACGCCACCAAATCTAATTCTCGTCTCCCCTCGTCAATATTGATTTGATCGAGCTTTACACCGAGAGACCATTGTTTGTAATACATTTTATAAGCGACAAAGAAGAGAATAACAATTGGCGCAGCTAGATAAGCTTCAAAGAAAGCTTGGGCATCGGGTTTTCCACCGATGGGGAAAAGTGCAACATAGAATTGGGCGACGAGGCAGAGGAAAACGAGCCCAAGACCAATCCATGATCCGATTGTTCCAAACATGGCTGCGAAGGGGAGATCATCCTTTGTACGACCGTTCATTGTCCATGCTTTGCGGAATCGGATATGAGCAAAGCAAATCGAGCCCCATGTGAAGAAATTGGAGAGACCGGAGAGAGACAGTAGCCAAGTGAAGATGGTGGAGCCCTGAGGAGCAACGTTTATATAGGCGAGTAAACCGAAAATGAGAGCGGCGGCGATAGCGACGTAGGGACGACCATGTTTATCGACCTTTCCGCCCCAGGAAGGACCCATGCCTTTGGCGCAGAGAGCTTGGATGGTACGGGTAGAGGCGAAAGTACAGGAGTTAGCGACAGAGATGACGGATAGAGTGATGACGGCGTTGAATATAGAGGGGAGGGCTTTGATTCCTGCGAGACGGAAAGATAGGACGAAGGGAGAATAGGATGTGTTACCTCCGGAGGCTTTGGAGAGTATAGGGTTGTCAGAGGGGACGATTAGACCCAGGATGAAAAGCGAAATGATGTAGAAAAGGGAGATCCGCCAGAAAACTTGCTTGGTAGCTTTAGGGATCGATTTTCGTGGGTTATCCGCCTCCGCAGAAGCTAAACACACAATCTCAGTACCGCCAAACGCGAATGAGGCTGTCACGAAGACGGAACAGAAGCCTTTGAAGCCATTGCGGAAGGCACCAGGGTTTCCCCAGTATTTGGCGCCGATATAGCCACGGCTATCGGTTGGAACACCACCACAATCGATGACAATTCCGAGTATGATAAATGCAATCACCGAGATCACTTTGATTGCTCCTAGATAAAGCTCTACGTTCCCATAGCTAAGTTTCGTTAGTGAGACTAGGTAAGGAGTATTAAAAAGAAAACGTTTAAAAATTTGAAAATTACCCTTTAACTCCGAACATATTGATAATAGTAACGCCAACGAGGAATATAGTAATCCAAACTCCAACGTTCACAGATGGATTTCCCGAGTTATCTGGATCGGTCCAAAATCCGATTGTTATACCAGCAGCTGTTAATTCGAAAGGGAGAACGACGAGCCAGTTGAGAGCATAATTCCATCCCATCGCGAACCCCCATCCTGGATCGATGAAACGAACCGAGTAGTTGTAGAAAGAGCCTTGAACAGGATAGATAGCTGTATCACGCCGCATTAGCTTGAGCCGATTTTGAATACAGGAGTTAATCTTACCAGCAAGCTCGCCCAGCGCATTAACAGTAAGCAACAGCATGATCCCGATTATACAAAAACATATTATTAAACTGGCGGGACCACCAGAATGAAGTGCGGAACCCGAACCGACGAACAAACCAGCTCCGATGGAACCACCAATTGCAATCATTTGCATGTGTCTACCCTTCAACTTTCTCTTCAACTCTCCAGTCTGAGCGGCCTCGATGTCGCCATCGGCCGTGGGCGACGGGGGCGAAACATCAGCCGTATATTTCTCCTTATCGTCGAAAGCCATGGTGAGATCTTGAAGGAATTCTAACTACCTTTTCGAAGTTTTGAGTTGCTCTCAAAACAAAAGAGGGGGAATAGAAAGGAACAGGTCGAAGAGACGAATTCGATTCACTTTCGCCGAGTACGATGACGAAATACGAAGAAGTAATCGCCAGCACCGGGTCAGAAACAAGACAAGACGTTGGAAATATGATACGGAAAACTCGAGTTACATTGCGTAACATCGATTACTTATACACGAAGCCCTCTACCCTGAGTATCTATCTATCGTCGCACTCACCATTCTGGTATGTGCCACTAAGGGCGATCTTGGCTTTGCCACATGCATGTATACATACATGCATCACTTATCAAGTCCTCGTGCTTCGTAAATGGTACGGGTAATTCGTGAAAACAGTGAATTGCCTCCCTTGCAAGTGATACGATTATCTCCCCAGCGAATGGGGGGAGGCAGGGAGGCTAATGGTGGTGTGGCGGTGGAATGTTCAGGCTTACCTTACTTTGCATAGGATATGGTCTACCCCATTCGTCGATATATCCTATCCGTCGATATCGACCAATGAAACTGATAGTGATACCATTACCATTCCCACGGGAAGCCCGAATTACAAAATTTAGCATGAGAAAACTAAACCCTATGCATCGCGTTTATCAATAGACATCAGGATAGGATCCTAGTCCTGAGTGAATCAGTAGCCAATAGAATGGTATTGGTATGTTTCTGGGGCGATAACATAACTAGCCAAGATAGAAAGATGGATATGGGCAGATAGATAGATAGCAGATAAGATTAGAATGGAGTTGTAGTTATACCAATCTCCTTGCAATTGTGTTGTAAAATGTCAAATAACATGACCCAGGCTCGTTTGTGATAGGGATAGTAGGTTCGGAGGAACACCCGAAATCAGACTGTGGCTTTTGAGTTACTAGATTAGCTCAATTCTATCCTTTAGATTGATTCGTCAATATCATACTACTAGGGGTTTATTGAGATAGATAAGAGATCCTTAACCACTAGAGTAATTAACCCCATAAACGTATAGTGCGAGCGACAGTTGCACTAGTGGCCTTTCTAGCTTACCTTTAATTCCTTCTAGAAGAATTTGTTGGTGAAAAACAAACCTTGTTTTGACTTCTATCGGACCGAGGCAGCAGACACAGGTGTAAACTTTGGGAATTCGGAATAGCATGAGATTGGGGCTCGTCTGAGTCGTCTCGACCTCGAGAGGCGAGGATGAAGTGGTAAGTAGCACGCACGGATTTGCAGATAACGATGTGGGGTTAAATCATGAATACGTGCATGTATAAAAGATTGCTAGGTATTTTTATGTACTCTTTGAAAAGCATATATGAAATGAGCCGCTGATATCCATTGTCCCATCCCTAACTCATCATATCATTTAAACTTTGGATCCTCGCAAAGCTGAACCAATACAACTCCTCAGATTGGTGTAAAGAGTGGAGTCTCCGGGCTCGCGGGGCCTATGTTACTCCACACTCTCATCACTCCGCTTGCATCCATTGTAACTGTCACTGTCAAAATACCACTTCAATTTAGACTTCGTACCATACTACTCGAACCCACGTTCCCTCCTAGCCTTCCAGCTAGGCCAACCCCTTGTACTAGTGTCCCAAAGAAACATCCCCTGGAACCTTCTTTATCTCTCCCCTGAAGATGAAGTTCTAGACCGCGAATTACCGTCCCGCATCGATTTCGTATCTTATCCGGAACTATTCGCAACTGTGGCTTGACTCCAGAGCGCACTGGGTCTGTATCTATTATTGCTGGTCACGGCGGTCGGCGCTAGTCACGCTTCTTGCGATAACAAGATGTTGTTACGATTTTAAATGTGCAAATTGCCGGACAGTGAGATTCTGACTTGGGTACTCTTCTATTCGAAGCAATTTCGTCACGAAGATCGATTCACTATTGAAAATTGTCTAGACTTGATCTTCTAGTACTGCGACAATAGATTACGTAATAATTTTCCCCGCCATTTCCCACCAATCAGCCCCTATTTATCCCGCAAAGAACAGGGGTAGCAAATATGCAAATTATAAAGCATGTAAGATGAAAGAGCTAACGTAAATTTCATTAGAGGTAATTACGATTCATTAGAAACTAAGAAGTCACAGATTTATATAGAGCAGAGGACGGTGAAAAGAACAAGACGCCCAAGGAAAGAGTTTTCATTCGACGCGCGACAAGTTTCAGAAATCAACCCTAAGAGTCTTCTTCAGATTGCCTATCCGTCAGTGGACCATAAGTAAACCTAATACTACGATTAAGCAGATTTGCAACGGCGGACTGTCCAGCGCTAGCCTCCGTACCATAGTTACTCATAGATGATGTCGACAGAGCGGTTTCATCACCATCTTTCATGAGAGGCCGTATGATATCTCTCGTTATAGAGGATCCTCTGTCAAGGTAGAAAGACTGGCTACCAATTTGAGCAGGCCCAGAACGCCCTAGCGGATTGGCTGTGAAAGCTTCGCTACCGCTATTCGATGATAAATTCGAAGGCCCTTGTTGAGATTCCTCGCCTTCATCCTGAGGATCGGGGGCAAGAAGAGGCACTAATTTTCGTGATGCCACTTGCCCTGGAATCAACCCTCGAACGGAACCTCTCAACCCGCTCTTCACAGCTGCCGACACACTCCTACTGACGCCACCAGCCACTTCTTTTGTAACAGTGTACGAGGCAGCTCGGCCTACTGTCTTTTTAAGAGCCACTGGCAAGGCTTTGGTAGCTCTGAACCCCTGCTTTAGAGCTTGCCCACCTATCTCGCCACCTATTCCACCAATCAGTCCACCAAGCGCATCTAAACCGACGCTTCTCCAAGTTATCGCTTGCCCTTCTGCCGCACTTCCAATCATACCGGCTACCACGTCGCTGGCAACACCTGCGGCAATACCAACACCAATCTGTATAGCTAAGCTTGCACCACCCGTGAGGATACCAACACCTATACTAACGGCAATTCCAATGGTCACCATGATAAGATCTTTCCAACCAAACTTCATGCCGAAGAGACTGAAATGACCATTCGGATCGACTCGATTGATCGGATCTCCTAAACAATATACATAAGGATTGATCTCACCCGATGCAAATGGACTCCAAGGATCAGGTGTATGGAATCGCCTAAGCTGGGGATTGTAAACTCGGTACCCGTTGCCTAGATGGTACCATCCAGTGATGGGATCTCGCCATTGTCCATTGAAGCTTATGGAGGAGAATGAGTTTCCAGCTTCAAGGCCGGAGCAACCATATGGTGTGTACTGCTGGTATTGAATCTGATCAGGATTTTGAGAATTCATCGTGGTGAGAATAGATTGTTGACAATCTGAAGCCCACAGATGAGTTTTGGTGTCTCCCCCTTGTTGAGAGATTGTTTCACCCCAATATTCAGATCCGTTAGACAAGTAGCTCACATGTCGTTCTCCTTTCTGTACTGCGACAAGGGATCCTCGATAAAAGAAGGTAGTGTCTGGTTGATTGGGCACTTTCTGAGAGGCCAGTTTTCCAGCTGCATCGTACAGATATTGAGCAAGGATATTGTCGTTGGCACCTCGCACACAAATTAAGCGACTCAAGTTATCGTACTCCAGACTTCGGCCTTGTTCGTCGCGCGTTAAGCAGCCATTCTGATCATACTCGAGGCTCACCTGGGAGGGGTAAGTTGTATGTGTGTTGGTAATCCGGATGAGTTGAGTAGGATCTTGTGCGCTAAAAGAGTTCACAGAGATATTCGAGCTGTCGTCTTGAAAAACCGTAGAAGTTCGAACAATGTTGTCGTAGTCATCGAATTCGAATTGCTGCTTTTTAAGTAGATTTCCTTGTTTATCAGCAGGGGGCTGATTTCCTTGACATTGGTAGTCGACGAGACGGTTATGAACATCGTATTCGAAGCTTTCGCTCCGCACCACAACACTGCCGCTCTTCTCCTGACGGCGAGAAGCCACAAGACCGATTCCATTGTATGTCTGGCTAAGAGTATATAGCAAGGTTGATTCTCCGGTGTTCACAGATCGCTTGATTTCCCGGCCAAAATCGTCGTAGGTAAAAGCCGTAGTTATTTTGGTCTTCTTCTCTCCATCTTCAACACGACTTTCGGTTACGCGGCTTGCATTGTCATATACAAAGGACACACTCAATCTGCCTTGTACCACTCGCTGAGGTCTTCCAAATGCATCATAATGCGTCTCGTGCAATTCACCATTCGTATCCGCCTTTTGCAATCTTCCGGCCATCGAGTAGGTGTACTTAGTTACAGATAGCTGGCCTCCAGTGACCTTAATGGCTTCCTGAGAAAGTAGTCCAGAGGTTGAATATTGCAAATCATGGGTCGCATCAGGACCTTTGAGCTGCAACGGAGCAGCATTTCGAGCGTCGTACTGATAAGTATCTGTATGTTTGCTACTGGTCAACTGCGTAAGTGCGCCGTCTAAAACTGGGTGATAGGTTAGGCTGTGTTGCTCTCCCTTTGGGTTTATTATTTGCGCAGGCTCGGGTGAGATTCCTTGATAGATTTGACTGGTAGTTCGTGTGCCAATTACTTTCCGTGTAACACGACCTAATCCATCAAAAGTTTGCTCACCAACGAGCTTGTCATTTAGCTTTACTGAAGTAGGTAGTACGGCTGTGGTCTGGCTTGCATACTGCGTCTTTACCCCACGAGCATCAGGCCAAATGGTCTCAATTACACGGTCGAAGGAATCTGTTTTGTACTGTGTTGTACGACCCAGGATATCTTTTTGACTGACAAGTCGATTCAAGCCATCATAAGTGTAGTCGATCTTGCTGTATAGTGTGCTGTTTTTGTCACTTAGGTGTAGTGCTATCTGTGTGGGGGCGCCAAAGAGATTCAATCTGGTTTTGGTCATACCCTCGCCTTCAATGCCTTCAACTTTCGTATTGGTGATCGGATCTGTATGGGACAACGTACGCAACCCAGATCTTTCTGACACTCTGATAACCTTGCCCCAATCATCATGTTCCATGGATTTATTGATCCTTTGCTCAACCGGTGACCCTATCGTTTCGGTTCTCAGCCAATCAATCTCAGAAGTTGCAATGAGTTGATCCTGAGCGTTATAGCTGTTCTCTTGGATCACCCGAAAGACGTGGTCATCATGATCTTGTTTCTCAACTCGCCGAAGCCTCTCTAACCCGTCTGTGATGTAGTGAATTTTTAAGCCCTTTGCGTCAGTCACCGTCCTACGGGATCCATTGTTACTTCCAAGGAGGGTGTAATCCTGACTTTCAACAGATTCGTAGGGCGTCCCTGGAGCATTGATTGTTTTGATTGAGCGCCCGAGGCTGTCATAGTATAAGTGGGTGAAAATGCCGGCTTCGTTCTTGTGCGATACTGTCAATCCAGACCACATCGAGTAGCCTGTCTCTTCTGCTGTTGTAGAATCATCGAAAGTTGTGGTTTTCATAGCCTGTAAAAACTGGCTACTGTTGGGATACGTATAGCTCCAAGTCTGTGTTGTGGGATATAGGTCAAACAGGCGTGTCACCTGTCGCTGAAGGCGGGTATGATCTCTTGATGTAGCACTGTTCATATAAGTGTATTCGAACTTGGTCAAAAGTCGACTCCCTTCCATATTCTGCCGTTGTTGAACGACAACAAGATAAGTTGCCTTTGCACCGGTCGCTGTGGGCATTTGGACATATGCATAGCTTTCACTGCGAGTTGGCCCTGGAAGACCATTGGCTGGTGTTACTGTCTCTTTTTTCAAATATCTCTGGAAGCCATGGGGATCGGGTGGGCAATTCAAGCCTGTGGAAGATCCACTTTCGCCGCCTGGTGGATAGTAAATGCGATCTATCTTGATGCCAGTTGGCTTTATATCGCTCAATGGATTCCCCCACTCATCAAAGACATGATGGCTGACTTCTGTGCGAGATGTCTGACTGGCCGCATCCCTATAGGTAACTTCGACAGTTTTAGGTAATTGATACTGCGCAGGCTGGTTTTCAAATGTTGCGAATGGATTTGCATGGTAAGTGATTTTCTGGATGACTTGTTTTGTGCCTTTCTGTTGTTCGGAGCTGACAAGAAGATGGAACTTATTGTAAGTATGCTTCGTCTCAGTCCCGCCTTCAATTCGAACAGTTGCAGTGTACTGGTATTCATCCCGGGTGAGAAATAGATTGTCTTCCCCGTCTCTCCAGTTGTGACTGCTGCCATATGCAAGAAAATTGTAATCCGAGTAGGTGTAGGAGGTTGTGATCGGAGGCTGTGCGTTGCCAGGGCGTGCAATATGAGATATGGCATAGGGGATTGCCTGGTATAGCGCACCTGTTGGCAATCGATGCCCTTGTGCTCGGTATCGGATTTCCTCAACAAGATCAGACGGGCTGGTTACATTGTTTAGATGGACTATTTGACCAAATTTCTCGTAGGTGAACTTCCAGGATGCTCCTTCCCAAGGCAATTTAATTTCCGTCAGCTGATTGTTCCTTTGAATGAGAGTAAATGAAGTAGCCTCAGAGGTATTCGGAGCTTTTGTTATGTCGACTTGAGATGCTCCATACTTGATCTCAAGGAGAACCTCTGAACCTTGCTGGATTTTCTCGAGGCGAGGAATCTCGCCAAGTGCAGACCACGTGAATGAGAGTGAGCGACCGGTGGAGGCATATAAGTCAACAAGAACAGACTTGTTATATCTATTGTTGAAATTCGACAGAGTCTCGACTTGCCCCGATTTGTAAGTGATCTGGTAGGAATTGGAGTCTAGCTTCTTCACGATTGAGCTTTTGAGCTTTTGATCAGTCGTGAAAATGGCGCTGGATGTTTCCGTAACTCGGAAGGACTCGCCCGTCGAAAGACTGACCATCCGATTCGATTGACGGTGATCATAAGAAGGGAGGCTGAATGACCATCCTTGACCCAATCCGATATCTTGTGTGTTCAAAGGATTGAAGCCCAAGGATAGCTTAAACGAAGGGCAGTTTCTGGCTTGGATTGGTGCTTCATACAGATCAACCGTACACATATATTGACCGGTACGTGGATCGACACCTTTCTGCAAGAAGTCGCTGAAATTGAAACCCTGGGAGTAAATGGTGGAGCTAGATGACATTCTGATGACAGGGAAGTATAGCTCGAGAAATTATTGTAGCAATTGATGCCAAAGTTGGAATCTGGAGGCGAAGGTAAATATTGTCTCTAGTGAGATGGCTTGAAGAAAAGATGTTATCTTCTATATCTTCTTATTCCATAGTCTCTAATGATTTCCATTTTTGTCTTTTATCTAGTTCAGTCTGGCACCTGTTTGACGGAGGAATTTTGGTCTTTCATTGTCCCACCACAGTTTAAAGTCTCCTTTGGCCTATGCAAAAGTGAAGCTGTCACGACCGAAAGTAGGTTGTATGACTTCATCAGACCGTAAAGTACCCAAAAACGCCTCGTCTTTACTGTCAATAATTTACGTGGCGAGCTTTAGGTCGGCAAAAATGAAAGGGGTTCGTAATTACACGAATATGGACTCTGCATACAGGTGGGGTTCTGTATACCCTCTCACAATCCCTCTTTTCAATTTACCGAAATCATGTGGATCACTTGGATTGGATATTATGCCTTGTCATATTATTCAATAAACGGCCCGGTTTCATTTCCAAGTGCTTCCTACATACTCGTGGATCATAACCCGATTCAGCTCATATGAATTCCCTAGATTAAACAAGCCTCTAAATTGCATTTGCACTTGTTACAATGAGTACAGCATCTGTTTCGGTATTCATATGTGTATGGAACACACTATTCAAACTGTATATTTCAGCTCACACCTTTATAACCTCATTCTTTGATCCACGTTTCTCTGCATACCTGTGGATAGTACCACAATACAGCTCATAGTCACCTTGGTCCTTGACTTCTTGGGCTTTGAGATTATACAAGTTTCATGCCTGATTACTACCATGAGTAAAACATATATCCATGTGGTGAAATTCGATTGGAAGCATTAACTCGAAAAGCATCTTCATGGTGTCCTCAAACCTTTCACAAACCCCTCTTTCAACATGAAAGCTAGATCGGTTCAGGATACACACTCCACAGATAACATGATGCACAAAATGTAAATTGCATTAGGTCTTCAAAGTTCAACAAGCTCATGCAGTCGATTGTCTAAAAGAAATGTGTTACTTGTATGCTATATCCCGCACTCGTCGTGCATTAGATCTTCAAAGATCAGCAAACTCATGCGGTTGATTGTCTAACAGAAATGCATTACTTAGGATACCCGAGAAAACCAACCCACTTGATATCTCTAGAGTCACCCTGGGCTATTGAGATTCATCAATATATGCTCCCAAGTATCACAATGGAGGCATTTTTGCCATTCGCTCCATGTCCGCAGCTAGGCTAACAATCGCCATTGAGCAGAGGATAACACAATTTGTATGTGTCCAGTGCCCGGTGGACCTAACAGAATCTAAAATGGTAACAAGGAAGAAAGGAAGGATGTTGTGGCATATATATAGTACTCTATCTGCCTGAGAAGATTGTTGAAAGCATCGATCTTCAAACCTTTCACTCGCACCTGTCAATCCCAAGTTATAAGACCAGTCACCTGCACAATAATATCTCTCTCACTTTACTCACGCCAAAGTGACATCAAAGCAATGGCCGGACGTTGGGAAGTGACATACTTGAAGATACACACAAGCGATGCCGGCACTTCCCTCTTCGCCAATGGCCAGATGCAGGTAGCTGCAAACATCCTCATCAAAGCGGTCGATCCAAACACCAACAATTCATACACCTTGACCGCCACCGAACTCTCGAAGATCGAGCTTGTAGACTATTACAACACGAGCGAGAAACTCACTGGCCCATGGACCTACACCGCCACCGAGAATGACTTCTCCCACACTATGCCCGCAAGTATGAGCGCTCCCTCAGACGTCGAGGACGCTCTCTCCGAACCCCTTATGGAAGATCAGCACAAAAGATACTGGGTCTCCACGACCCGCGCTGAAGTCAAGAATGTCGGGGCACGCATTCAGCAACCCAACGGCACCGTTGTGACGACTCGTTCTTCACCCAACGATTCATACATTGCCTTTCGCGGGATCTCTGAAATCCGGTATTCCTTGTCCAATACCGAATGGAAGAGAGAGAATACGGCTGATGGCAGCGGCTGGGATCAGGACAACTACTTCCTCACAAGCAAGGTGCATCCGTTCAAGAAAGTTAAACGCTACGGCTACCACGATGATAGCTATGTCGTGGTAGGCATGCGGAATTCTGTGGCATACCATCGACCAGGCCCTCATCTTCACTTCATGTTCGATTTAGGACCCCGCGTGACTCAAACGGTTGGACTGACACATTACACGGACGGTAGAGCTCACCCATTTAAATGGACCAAAGCCATCACGATCAGACAACACGCGAATGCTCTATGCCTTGTCCGCCTCAAGACATCAGGTCCGAAAGATATCTGGAGTTTGGGCTGGTGGTACGCTCCCTGGGTCAATATCTTCGATCTCTACGGTAACTCGGGCAAGTTTGATTTCCAAGTCAATGAATACAACATGATTTCCGTTTCCAACCGTGGCACGTTCGCTGCATCCGCGGATACCGATACCGATGCTATCACCTATGAAAAGGAGGAAGATACTCCAAATTCAGAGGCCAGTGAGATCGAATCATCAGCTCCCGCTCCAACAACTGATTAGGGGGCGGGCGGTGAATTTGATGGGGTTTTTGCGGTTGGGGCGATAGAGGAGGGTGCTGAAACCTTTGGAGGGAAGCAAAGCACTGAAAATATTAAAATCAAAAAGTCCAACCGATCTCGGTTGTCTGTCACAGCACGTGACACTCCTTTCTCTTCCCCTTTCTCTTCCTCCTCTTCCTCCAATTGAGCGTAGATTACCTACCGATATCATCACATTCATTACATACCCACAAGCAAGGAAGGCCCTCCCAGTTTATTCCCAACATCATCTCTTTCCAACATCATATTTTTACATACTATCCCATACCCCTATACTATCCTATACCCCTCTAATATCCCATACCCCCATACCCCCATACTATCCCACACAATCCAACAAAAATATCATTCATCCATTTAGATTAGCAATATGATTTACTCATTGTACCTACTCATTGTACCTACTCATTGTATCTACTCGCTATACCTACCTACCTACATACATACATTCATTTCATCCAACAATATAGTTTTTATTACTCGAGTAGTTCCTTTCCATTCTATAATTTCCACAATTTCCAATCCATAATTTCCATAATTTCTAATTTCCAGGTCTCGAATATCATTGCCACTGCTACTACTTTTTCACACAACTAAACTAAACACGCACAACTGGGTACTCACATCTTTTATCAAGAATATTTTTATCGAGAATATACTCGAGTAGTTACAACTTCTTACCTACTCAGGTATCCTGTATCCTTCAATAAATCGATTCGATTTGATTACTATTCTTTCTCTGGATTGCGTTTCCATACTCGAGTACATTTGTTTCAAAGCCCGCGAAGAAGTTTCCTGTAATCATATACATACCCTACCCCAATCTTCCGGGCTATAGAATATCATACTATATTTTGCTCAAAAACAAAACACAATATATGTTGTATCTAATAACGATCTTTGATAATAATCTTCGCTTCGCTAATTCGCTATCTCGCTATCATTCATTTATTCTCCTTTCTCCTCATGTATATCCTATAACACATCGATCTAATTGCATGCTTACTATCCCATATCCCATATTCCCACCCATTCAATATGATAACTCACCCTTGCGTTCAAGCGAAACCCATCCATGCATTTATATCTCTCCATTTCCCAATCACGCCTTGCCGTGTATTCTCAAGAATTTCTCCATCGCTCCATCCCCAACTTTCTCAAAATCCCGTAATATCACTAAACGCCACCACCCTTCCAATTCCCGACCCGACTGAGCACTTCAATGTCGAATGTAATCAGTTTCTCTTCTCTACTCTCCACTTTTTATCCCACCCCATCCCAACCCAAAATTTATCCCGCCATACTAGCCTTTGGTGTTTTTCCCGGCATATGCGGCCCCTGATTCGTAATACTCCCCTCGATTCTCCTCTTTGCCTCCGCCTTCTCCGATTCCGTAATATCTTCTTCATTCTTCCGCATATCAGGTGTATGTTGTCTCTGATTTGGATGATGACCAATCGACATACCCACACGGACCTATTTATATACCATTAGCACTTTCTTCAAAACTCTCAGGATGAAATAAGATTGAAACTTACCAAAGTTTCCAAAGCCTGACTAGAATTCCCCACCAAATCATCATCATATCTCATAGCACCATCTTCAAACAATAGAAGAATAGTACTACCACCAAATTTGAAGTATCCCAGTTCCTCAGCACGTTTAACATTCTCACCTGCTTTGCGAGTGATGACTGTACTTCCAACCATCATGGCTCCTACGCAAATAACCATAACTCTTCCATGCTCTGGAGAGTCGATCGGGATGACCACACGAACATTCTCTCCATACACATCGAGTGCGGATCGAATAGCCATAGGGTTGACAGTGTAATACTCTCCGTCAATAGTTTTAGGAGTACCCATAACACCATCAACTGGAATATGGAAACGATGGTAATCCTGTGGAGCAAGACGGAAGACACCCAGAGAGCCGTTTGTATATCGTTTTGCATCGTCTGGGTACGCACTACCGAGGAGTCTCTCAATTGAGAATTCGCGACCTTTGACCCAAATATTGGTAGCTTCGTCCATTCTATTGAAGACAACTGATCTAGAATCGGCAGGGGAGACAATGATACGAGGGTTATCTGGTGCTGAACATGGTCGTGCACTTGGTTTAAGTTGACGATAGAAGAACTCGTTAAAGCTTTTGAATTGTTCCAATGGAAGCAGGACTTCACTCATATCTAGTTGATGGAAATTGATGAATTTCTGAATCTCTGCTGTCGAAGCAGGATCATCATACTTGACGCCCTGTTTGAAACTCAAGCCTCTAAGAAGCTTGCGAACTGGATTCATATTAGCAATTGTTCTACTAGGTTTCTCACTAAATATGTAATAAATGCCAAGCGTACTTCTCTTCTTTTCCATTTCTTTAGATTTCAATCCTTTATATAGCAGCCTGATTCCCAAACGAACGTAAACACTCATTCTCTCTTCATTGATTTGCCCAGTGATACGGTCTTGCACAAGGATATTGGCAGAATTTGCACCGAGTTTGTAACCACCATAGGAAATCTTGGTAATGACCTTGGAGTACCATTTGCGTTGAGCTTGACTAGATGTGACGAATCCAGCCATGACAAGATTGTCAACTTGACGCCAATCTTGACTAGCACAAGTAGCAATGTGAGTAATGATATCGGCATCGGAACGCTTATTAAGGCGAGGTTGATGACAGATTGGACATTCTCTGATCTCAACCACATGCTCCTCAGTCTGATTATTAAGGTCATCTGAGTCCAGCAGTTCTCCTTCTTCTCCGGGAGCACCCAAGTGATCAACTGATTGTGTTGATGGAAATGGAACTTCGGAGCCCTCCGACTGGAACTGACCTAAAGTAACCTCTGATGGTGCGGAATTGGCTGCATCTGTAGGTTTTTCTCCACGAGTTCCACCAAGTTGGCTAGGTATAGCTTGTTTGATTACTGATGTATCAGGCATCATATTTTTCATCTTATCGCCAAGGTGTGTCTTGGGCTGCTTTTGCTGCAATTGATCTTCCAAACAGATAACAGCCTGATCAATGGTCAAATCTGAAAGTATATCATCTCCATTTGGTGATTGAAAGCGTCTAAAGAATCCATCAATCGTGGACTCCTTTAGAGTCGAGCCAAGCGTATCCAACATAGTTGTGAGCTCCACCTTACTGATACATCCACTCTCATCACTATCATATTGTCTGAGCATTGCTCTCCAGAATTGCTGGCGTAGAGCTGGATAAGGGGCATATTTAGCCTTGATATACAAGACTGGGCTATGTTTTTCTTCCCACTTTTCCGCATTTTTGAGTTTCAATGGAATCTGAAATGAGTGTAAATCAGGATCTCCAGTTTGATCGCATGATTCTTCTAGCTCGACAACTGGGGGTGGTAGTATAGCGTCATTCGGGGAGAGAGCTGCTGGGTTGGATCCTGAAACGCTGGTAGGGGCGAGAGTGGGTGTAGTTTTACCGGAAATGCCACCATTGTTTGTACTTTGGCTGGTCAGCTCCTTCTTCAATATTGGACGTCCCAGCTTGTTTAGACTTTGTGACGATGCAGATCTCGACATTGGCAATTTAAAACGGGAGCCTTTTGCTTGAGGTTGTTGTACCATCAAAGCACTGAGATCAGGGGGGTCTCTCATGGCGAAAAGACCGGTTTCTGGATCAGCTTCTGGAGCAGTGTCGGTAATATCCTTAACTGGTAATACGGTCGAAGCAATGAAGTCGTTTCCAGATAATTTATCCCTATCGATAACTGTGAATACGAGAGAATAAGTTTGCTCATGCCTGAGGACCTGAAAAATCATCTTCTCATTAAAGATTGGATTCAGATTGTGTCGAATGACTCTTGTTCTGTATGTCTTCTTTCCCAAAGATGCAACCACGAAAGGATCCATATCGAATGATGTTCTTGTCATATTTCGCTCTGGGGGAAGGTCCGTAACTTTGCCAATTTCCAGATAAACAATTCCAACAACTTCGCTCTCACCAGAAAATTCATATGCACTCAATTGCTTCTTCTTCCGCAACCCCTTAAGTCGTAATCTCTTTCGTCGTTTTTCGACGTTCTCTGGTTTGGATGGATCATCGGTTTCGTCACTTGGCTCGGTGCCCTCGTCGAAATAATCGTCCTCTGTCATTTCTGTCCCCGGTGTAATTGCTTCTAGTTCTCTTGAAGGTGTGACCAAGCCAGGGCTCTCAGTTCCTACCAAAGTCCTGAATTTCTCCATGATTTGGTGAGAGCTGGCAGAAGGATTCGTGGCATCGCATAAAGTGAATTGAAGCATGACATCGCCGGAAACATTGCTATCCTTCTTTCCACCGGGTCTCTTGCTCCGCAGAGGGTACCATGTCGGTGGTTGTTCGTGCAAATCGTTGGAGAATATATCTTCCAGTGCAAGGTCAAATTCCCCCAGGTAATCCTTTCCAAATCTATCCTTATCCCAACAAACGCAATCGAGAAGCAGGGAGTTCGTGCCGGTAATTGGTAGTTGTAAAGTGACGTTCCATTCTGGGTTCAAGGTTTTCTGAATCGTATGAGTTGTGCTCTTTTCGTCCCCGAGTGTGAGTACTAGATACTATAATCCGCATATTAACTTATGTGCCCTTCAGCTCATCAACGACAGGAAAAAGTGCCAAGTACTTACAGGATCAGAAGTTCCACTTTTGTCCTTCGCTGCCAAATTTCGAGCCTGTTCACAAATAATTGTCAATAAGGGTATTTTTATTAAATACATCATTATAATCAACATCTGGAGTCCATTCCCAGCTCGCATAACTGAGAAACAAGTGTGGATTCATTCCAACCATACCTTGAGAACAACAACCTTCAAAGTCAAACCATTGACTTTGATACCGTTGCCATCAGGACTGGAATCCCGTCCGCTGCTTTTGTTCTTCATATTGGTATTGGTATTGTTATTGTTATTGTTGCTGTTGGTATTTGGGCTGGGACTTCGAGATCCGGTTTTGCTATAAGATTTGAGACGATTTGGCAGAGAGATGCGAACCATTGTGAAAGAAGTGTTGAGGTGATAAAACGAGAGGCCAAGATTGTTTGTATTCACCCAACCGAGAAAAGGGACACAAACACAAACACAAGTAAGTAACAAGTAACGTCAAATGTAATGTAATGTATGTCGATCGATTATGTTTGTCTCCTTGAAATCTATCTTTGTACTTTGTTTTGCTTGAAAAAGGATTTATCAATAATGTATTGTACTCCAAGTAAGAGTTTAAGGTTTCTCTTTTTGTGGTAGTTTTGGAGAATCTGATGTCGTTACTGTATACCTTCGGATGAGAGATACCGATAGAGCTTAAACCCGGGAGTTATGCACTTGAAGTAGGTAGGTATCGCACCTTCTCCATAATCTCTCATTGTTTACTGGGTATGGGGTATGGGTATGGTAGAAGGTTATTGACACATAGGTAATCTTGGCGTAATACTGTACTTGCTTGGTTGGTAGTGGACTTCTTTTCTTGTTCTTGTGGCTCTGTGGAACGTTGACGTGAATGTTGGAACTTATTACGAAGTAGAGGCAATGGAGGATTTATAAAGAATAGATCTCCGGCCAGGGAGGAATTTGGATGGGGAATTTGTTATCTGGAATTTGAGACCCTGAATCTAAGCCAGGGGTAAATTCAAAAGGTTAGTATCGGAAAGTACGGGTAGATCGATATTCGATATATGGAATTATAAGGAGGGAGATCTACTCGAGTTATAGTATAGGCAATAGGAATAGATAGTTCATTTATATACCTAGGTACACTATTACAGTAACATTCTACCATATATATAAGAATCACACTATCTAACTCGAGTACATCTAATTACATTCCATTATTAACCAAATAAAAGAGAATCTCGACAATACCAACCGAATCCCACACATTTCCTATCAAGCCTTAATAGTCATTAATTAGCCTCTTCAAATAATGCTAAAACCCTTTTGAAACAAATAAACAAATAAACAAAACTCATCTCATTCTCGTTCTCGTTTGAAGGATCCGCTACGTGCCCCTAAACCAACCAGTACGCTTGAATAATCTCCTTTTCCTTCTCCTTCATTCTCCCCCCTCCTATCCTTATCTCCATCTCTCCAACCCATAGAAACGCTAACACTAACCAGATATAGACAAACACACTAATACATACTCGAGTAATTAATAAATATATATATATTGAGCTTTATTCTACTCGAGTACTTCTACTCAGTACTCTTTTCCAACTCATGCTACTCCAACCCCGCCCCACTCAATCTAAAGAGATACTCGATAACAATTCCTGTAATCTTCATCTTCATCTTCATCTTCATCTCCCCATCTCCATATCCATTTCCATTTCCCTTCCACAGCTGAAAGTTCTATACTACACCCACACCCACATACACATCTCTACATACACATCCACATCCAATATTCACATCTCATATTCACATCTCCATATCTATTTCCATATCCCTCTCAAAATCAAACTACATACAGCTATACTACATACACATACATGAACACCTACTATAGTACAATAATGATTAAACTTTAAAGTAACCAATAAATACCCAAATACCATTCACATCCAATCCAATACCCCTCCTCCCCTCCATACCATTCCCTCCTCTCTATTCGTATACTCCTCTCCATAATCCATACCCCTCCTCTCCAGATATATTTCCGTTTCCTATTACTATTACTATTCCTATTCCACCTCCACATCCACTGGGCATTCTTTTCTTTCTTGCCAGGTATATATGTATTACAATAGAATAATCGAGAACGTCCTTATAATTATAGCCTGTTTTTATTATAAAGTAGCCTATATCTCTTCGCAATGAAAATCTTTCTTTTCTCTAAACTTATAGTTCTTCTGGGCGTATTTTCTCCCTCAAAAGAGAATCCCAGCCGGCCGACTAGCTGACTGTTTATGCCTACAATAATACCGGTACTAATGCCTCAACGCCATGCTATTTGAGAGAAATAAATAAAAATGCAATGAACAAAATTTAGCAAATGGAACGATTACCCTCTCATCCCTAATCTAAGCACCAACATGCTCTGTAATAGTACATGGTCGATTTTCCTTAAGCTCCGAGAAAGATTCCGGCCACAAGAACATTTTCTCTTCATTTGTCGGAGTAGCCGCGACATACGAAGGAACCTTTTCAAAAACATCAGTACCCGTTCGTACCATATCAAAAAGTCATGCTCATGATTAAGCACCAGAAATCAGGAATGAAAAACCTACCGCAGTCTTACTCGAGACTCTTCTCCACAGATTAGCCCTGGGATTGAATCTAGCCGGCTTACCCACCCCACCCGTCTTCAGCTGATCCTCCTCAGCAATCCTCTGCACCTCTTTCTGCACATCCGCAAACGTATCGAATGGCACATACGCAATATCATGCTCCACACAATATTCCTCCAAGCGTAGCCCCCTCCGCGCAAACAATACATCCGCCTGTGACGCGGCCGGCAAATCCGATACGCCATCTCCTATAAACACGATGAGCGGAATCGTGCCATCCTCACATTCCCACTGCGCGAGCTCTCGCGCCTCGATTATCGATAATGCTTTATCGTGTCCCAACTCTGTATCATGGCGCCAGACGGGCTTCCATTGATTCCCATCCTCGCTTATCTCCGCTTCGTTCGCTACGATGTCTATCTTGCGACTTTCTTCCTCGCCCAGGAATTCATCCAGCACTTTTCTCAACACGGGTTTTAATCCTGCACTGATGACATTAAATGGGATATTGTTATTCATGCAATAACGATGGAATTGTTGGAAATCAGGATCAATCTCGAGCGTTTTCTCCATAATGGCAAAACCATCTTCAAAGGGAACACGCAGAGATCCCCACATCTCTTCTGATACATCGCGGAAAGAGCGTTCGCCCGTTTTAATTTGGTTGTCGAGGACGAGACGGCGTTGTTCACCGCAGCCATGGGCGTCGAAGAGGACGTGTCCGGTATCTTGCATGAAGATTGTGCCGTCGAAGTCTAGTGGCAATTGTTAGTATTTTTCTCTCTTATCTTTATATATATACACGGAAATGTATATTCAAAGAGCAGGAAAATGAAGACGAATAAGAAGAAAGAAATTATATACCCGAAAAACAAATAATCTTTCTCTTAGACTTCAACATTTCGGGATCTTGCGTGCGCGCGTAAGTGGTTTTGGTAATGGCTAAACTTTCAGTGCAGAATGTTGATTGGGGTGGTGAAATTGCAGAAGGCATTGTGAGAGAGTTGAGATGAGGGGGAAATACTTGGTAGGTATCAAAGAAAGCACTAGTGAGGTACTGAGTGGAAGGTGCGAACTAGATGTTCAGGAACGGAAGGAGCGAGTATGGATTTGGGTTTTGGGGATAAGGTACTGGTATTGATGAATGGGGAAAGTGTGTGAATAAGGAATTATGGATTTGAACTTGGGGGAAGGTGGAGAGCAGGATGAGTTGATATATATGGGGGTTTCTTTCAAGGTTGGATGTTAAACGCTGATGGATGAGGGGATTTGGTTCATTGATATTGTTGGTTGGTATTATATTTGTATGATAATATACATACTAGAAGAGAAATCGAAAAGAGAGGGCGGTTCTAGCGTTCTTATATTCTTAAATGGCTCCTTTATTCTCATCTATATCTATATCTTTATACCGTATCCCCAAATCCCAATCCCAATCCCAATCCCAATTACTCGAGTATATGATATAAACACATCTATCTGTATCTGAAGAACAAAATAGTAGACGATCTAGACATAGCTTTTAGAAAATTATAAGCTAACAAGAAGAGAAATTCAATACATAGCATTAGTATTATTGCAGGTGCCCACAAACCTAATATCGATGTATTGTATGTCTGACCAGAGTTCTTGTAGTTATCTATCTTGTTGGGGTTGGAAAGTGGGGAAAGCTTAGGAATGGAAGGAATGCAAGGAAGAACCTACGTTCTACTCGAGTGTCTTTGTGATTAGGTGAAAACAACGACATTATATTTACTCGAGTACAGTATATACCATTTGTTTGGATATAGTACTCGTGGTATAAATGAAGTTTTCACGATATCACTTGATTTGACAATAGTAATACAGTTATCTATTCATGTAATTAAGTAACCACAGATTGATGCACCGTGACAACCGAATTAGATATTATACAATACACCGTCAGTCCCCATATATTAGATTTCCAACCAAATGGAAGAAGAGAAAAGACAAGCCATCCTATCGTTTATACTCAAGTACATAATCATGTACCCTACTTAGGTATGTACTGAGTATATGGGACTAAGCCACTATACAACTAATTAACAAGCGCTAAGTTATTGATGTTCTTTGCATTTCTCTATTCTTCTGCATTTACCAGTTTATCCACCCTCTGCGATGCTGCCTGCCACCATTAGGGAGGATATTATATCCATCAAGTGCGGTTCTCAAATCGTACATGGAGTTGGAATACTAACTCGCATGAATATCTCAATACAAAAAAACAGGAGCCTTGTTCTCCTTAATTCCTCGCTAAATAGCGACATAAGTTCCCCCGACAACCCCATAAGATTTTCGTTTCTGCTGAGAGATATTATGCGGCTGCGACCTTTGCAGAATATTAATATGTAGCTGCCTTATCAAATAATGAACTTTCTTCCTTCAAATTATTCAGAAATGCGTGTTCTGGGGATGCGTTTCCTAACAGACTGAACGATGCATGTTAGCAAAAGTATCTCAGCGATGTTCAATTTGCTGAACCCTAGAATTGCTATTCAGACAATTCTATGAAATAACAATTTCAAAAGCTCGAGCGTATTTCAAGCGCCTAACGCCCACCAATTGATCGAAATAAGAATGGTACCTGCGACAAAAACAAACATACCTAATCAAATCACTGGATCCCTTCCCTGAAATTGTGCTCAGATTGACTTTAATTGCGAGGACTTCGGCATTTTCGAGGTCCTTGTGCAAGTTTGTTCTAATGCCGCTTCTGCTTCCTCCAACCTTCCTATATGGATTTCGGCGTTAGCTTGTGCGACAAGAGTTTGAGTCGAAGATGTTAAAGGAGCTTGTGCAAGTTCTTCGAAGACGTAAAATGCTTGTTGGTATTTCTCTCCACCCTGCATTTCATTAGTCGTGAGATATATGTACATTGAGCTGGAAAGACCTACAACTCAAAGTCCCATCCAAGACTCGGCCAAATTAACCAGCAGACTATCTTGAGCCCATCTCCTAGCTTGTTGAACCTCCTTGATAGCCAAATCGGCACGGTTTTGTTCTAACTGATTCTGAACAACAAGAGCCGCAGCCTCAACTATATCCATTTTGTGAGTTTCCCTCTGCTGCCATGAAGTGATCCAAGAGTAGATAACTTAACGTTTACCCTGGTGTAATGCCAATAATTGCAAAGCCTGCTTACTATTTCCTGCAGCTCGTAACACCGTTCCACCCAATATCTGCACCGCTGCATTATCACTCGAGTCATACGCCAAATTCGTCACCATCTTTACGGCTTTCTCATAATCCCACTTGCAAAGACAGCAAAAGCTCCCACGGCCTTAGATTTCACATCATCTTCCCCTTGTACATCTGCGAGCACATATTCAGCTTGTTCGAGTGAAATTTGAGTTCTAAGTGCTCTAATTGATATGACACGCGCTGGGAGTGCATCCTCCGGTGAAAAGGGCGCTGGTATCAAAATCTATAGCTTTCTGGTATTGACCCTGGGTTGTACAATTTGAGAAGCTCGCCCGCGGCTTAAAACGGATCCATGATTTGTGATTGTGGTCTGGAGATTTATGTCGAAGAGTGAGTGTGTTGCGAAAGATACGGGTTGAATTCGGTCGAGGATGTCGGATTTTGCCGAGGTCGATTTGAAGCTAAATTTTGCGGGGTTGTGATGGCGACACCAATTTGTTCGCGCGAGGACAAGCTCCATACCAAATAAATCTAGCCTCACGACGTCCATATACCTTCGATACCAATTTCAAAGGACGAAGGCCTCGTGCTTTTGCTTTCACATGGTCAACTGCTTCCTTATCCGTTGAATCCTCGAAAGGATTCACAACCCTTGAATTGCTCTCATGAATGTCATCGTTCTCTTCATCAGTTTGAAGCTGCATTCTAACATTATCCCAAAACGCTCTGATTTGAAGTTCTCCGCGATAATTGTCAGATGCCATTTTCATACCAGGTCGGGCTCGTCGTCCTGCTGGCATTTGTCCCACTTCTTCATGTAGCCGCATCAGGATGATTTCGTTACCCTAAATCATGGACGACGAAGTTAGTCGGTATCACTTAAATTAGAGATATCACTCGGAGGGAAGAGGATGGACATACTCACCAGTTTTTCTCCAATATTCTTGTCCTCATCTAAGCACCTCATCAATGGTACAGTCATGAAAAAGTCTCGATAGTTTTGTAGCACTTGTTCATATGTATATGTTTGATGAGGGTATACGGTGTGTTGCTGAATGCCACTATTCAAATATTCCAGGGAAATCTTTTTGGACCTTGGACTTGTTTCTTTGCTTGGTGTTACAATGTTCTTCTCAGCTACGAAGGCTTTTTTAGGATTCTTTTCTCCGGTCCTGAAATCTGTAACGATAGGGTGGAGCTTAACCTTGAGCCCTCTCCGTTTACACAGCTCGAAACTATATATACTCTTTCGAGTTGACATTTTATCAATAGACTATGGAGGAGAAGATTGCGCTAGTCTATTGATTCTCTTGGTTTCATTTACTTTGGCTTTATACGATGACTGGTATAGTTTTCAGATTCACGTTTCCCCCCCCCTAGCGCTTCAAATGAACAATTGTGGAGGGATGATTCACAGTTAATCACCGCAACATACTTTCATGATACAAGAATTATTCTTCGATTTACAGTCTTCTTTTTCGCCTCTGTTTCCCCGTACCTGTCTTTAGATTCTTAACACACACACCGCAGGGATAACAACATTTATGTTCTCAAACAGATCCATCTAGGTGTCAAAATTTCAATTTCATTCAAGGAGTTTCCAGCAACATGGTAAACCCACTCCTTCCGGAAATGACAAATGTACCTCCTGGATGGATCGGTCAATTTGATGATGACAATCGAGTTTACTTCCGTGGGCCTGCGGGTCAATCGACTTATGTTCATCCTATGTTGGGTGTGATTCCAAAGCCTTGGCATCTTAAGGTTGATAGGTCTGTTTCAAAACCTTATGAATATTACTACAACACGCATACTAAGTTAAGATCACGGGATGATCCGCGTTTCGATGAAGAAGTGATACACTCTCAACTTCTCGGAGTCTCTAGACTGGTTCGAGAATCTGCGACTATAACCAAAAATTCTATAGGAGCCCTCGAAAATTCCCGACATCAAAATATCTTAAATGAGGACATACGACATCAGTATAAAATAGTGCATACCATCGACAGCGGTGACGGTGACATAGGCGGCATGAACGGAGGAGTGCATGTGGTGCGACTTAAGGCCACGAGCAAGATCTACGTTGAGAAGAGATTTAAAAAAGATTCGTTGGAAACACGACAAAATGGAAAGCCTGGTCTCGGTGTAGTTGAAATTCTGATTACTCACAGGATGAAGCATGGTGGTCTGGCAAACTATATCAGCGCTTTCATAGCTCCTGATACGGTACACCCAACGAGCGCATCCTTGTATCTCGAGTTTTGCAATCTAGGATCTCTGGATGACCTCATCAAATGTTATTCCCAATGTCTACACACAAATGAGGCGGCTCGTATACCCGAACGTTTTGCCTGGCACGCCATATCTGGACTCTGCGACGCTCTTTCCTATCTTTGGGGTGGAAAGTCATTTGTTACCAATGAAAAGGACAGAGGGACTGGACCAGTAAAGGGCTGGAAATCAATCGTACATCGCGATATGAAGCCTGATAATATTCTCATGCGGTCAAGAACGAGCCACGTAACTTCGAATTATCCTTATCTGGTTATAAGTGACTTTGGTATGGCCACTGATGATCATGACCGAAATTCCGGAGCATGCGGGACGAGACATTTCTGGGCACCTGAACTCCTCTGGAATCCTCCTGCAAGAAACAACCAACAGCTTGAGTCTTTTCCTCCAAATCAATACCATACTCCTGAAAGCGATCTCTATTCACTTGGGGTTTGTATATACAATCTCTGCAGGCCTACAAACGTGAATTTGCATGGTATTCGATGGCAGGGAGCATTCTCACACTTCGACATCGAATCATATCCAGAAAATTCCAAGGAAAAAGATATGTGGTGGCAGTCTCAAATTTGTCGCAAATTCGACCTGGACGTTGGCGCGTATTACTCGGATGGATTGAGGGAGATCATCAGAAGAGCGACTTTTTGGAAGCCTAGCTATAGAGGTGCCGCTCATCAACTCGGAAAAACACTTGTTGCTACCGCAATTGCTTCTGGCTATGGGGACGAAGGCTTTGGTGAAAGTGAAGCGCTTCCGGAATGGGCAATCAAGAAACATGACTATCATTCCAAATGATCTATGGACCTAGGAACGGAATGGAGAGCTTGTGCATTGCGGCAGAGGTATGTGCGACTCCAAGGTTTGGTGTATGAGTTTTGGTAGATTTTTGAGTGGCAAGATAACGCAGGTCTTTATACATTACTATCCAGAGGTCTCTCCTTGTATGGCCGTTCCTTTCACTTCTCGACTTTCGAGTAACATGGATCCCGGAAACAAGAGTACCAACTCTGTTCAATGGAGCTTTCGGAGCTTTATTACATCAATCTCTCGGGGTCTTCTTCGATTTTGGCACAGAAACGTTTGATGGCACTTCATCCCCACAAACAGAAATAAGGAGAACTTACCAATGAAGCATACCTATACATAGCTCGATACAACAATGAAATCTTGAACTATTGGGACAAGCGAGGAGCAACGATGAATTGCAAGGTATTGCTTTCGAAGACATTAGTAAAAGGAGATTCTGATAGGTAGATAGCATTCGCAATGGATAGACAGAACAGAAAATGATTGATATATCGTTGCTCTATTCTTACATTGAATGTACCATGATGTCAAATGGTTGGCTGCAGAGTGTTATGCATTTGCTTTGATACAGAGATACAAAGATACAGAGTTCTATTGGTATTGATTGGGTGAAGAGAGACGTGACTATCTGGATTACCCAACCTTCCTCAATGATAATATTAAGGTTACAGAGAAATGGGACTTAGATAGAAGAAGACTCGAGAAACAACAAGAATGCCCTATCTCACAGTTATTGACTATTGTAGTTTTTGGGCTCACAAGGGATTATGGTATCCTGTCAAACATATTGAAGCCAAGACAAAATAGATCACGTGAATTCAGTACCCCTTCCCTTGCCACTTATCCACTTATCGAACTTACCTAGTGCTCGGCAAAATTAAAGACTTCAGCCTCGAAAAGAGCCTCGCCAGGCTACGAAGCCTTACACAATAACATCTTCCATCAACATCATTCAAAATCTTCAATCAATCATCTTGTCCTTGAGATAATTGAAAAAAGCTTTGCTTCTCATAACTCAGTTTTCCTTTCATCTCTGACAGCATTTGATATCGCGTTGTGCGACACAGAGATGGAGCCTTCCAACAAGAAACGACGTCTCGCACCCAAAGTCCCGGAGCAATCTACCCAAGAACAAGTAAACAATTCATCGCAATGTGTCTGATACATCTTGCTAATGTGCAATTTAGTCGCCTCAAGCTAGGTACGATTATAAAGCTATGCCAAATTTACAAGAGCCCGCACCTTCGAACGAGCGGAGCGACTTCGAGTCTTTCGCCCGTCATTTACAAGATGCAGCAATGCTTATCTATGCGCAAGCGAATCGATCTCCATATAAGGGTGTTACAGTACTTCTATTAAGATGGGAAGAAGATTTGAGTGTCGAGGAAGATCTTGTGCTCCTACAGAAGGTTTTCCATGAACGCTTCAATTTTCATACCGAGTCTTGGAATATTCCAAGTGGCCCAAATCCTAACATTAAACTTGTCAAGCAACTTGCCCACCACATTGAGTTGACTGCGCCTGATAATCTCTTAATTGTCTACTATGCAGGGTATGGGTTTGTAGGTTTGGATCATCAATTATATTGGGCCTGGTAAGGTTTGGAGCTTATCGAGCCTTGTGACTTATCGCTGATGCGCAATAGCAATCCGCAAGAAGAAGCTCCAAAATTTAAGTGGGAAGGTATTAAATATTTGCTCGAGGACGCGCAACCCGATGTTCTACTCTTACTTGATTCTTGCGCTACTACGGATTCATCCGTTGCAGGAAGTCAGGGTATTAAGCAGGGTATTGCTGCATATAGTCCAGACCAAGCCACACGTGAATCAGGAACACGATCATTCACATATCACTTGTCGGAAGCTCTTAATAAACTTGGTACTGGCCGTCCTTTCAGTACGCAACGGCTTCATGAGGAGATCATCTCACAAAAGCACACTGGTTTCCTGGCACATACTGGACTTACAAATGGAGCAGGAAAGGCAGCTTCGGCCAACGAGCGAATGCCGGTGTCTTTTTCCTTGACCCCTGGATCACTGCAAAGCATCTCACTATCCCCTCTCAGCCAGGAGGTGAGACCAAGCACATCGATGGGATCGCCAGCAGATTCGTCAGAAAATAATGCCCAAGGATCAAGTACTGAAGAACCAATCAAGGCCAACTCAAATTCTGATCTAACCTTTGAAGAAGTCAGAGCATTGGTTTGTACGACTTTCGTTGGAGAGCCGAGTAAAGATATGGCATCTTTCAAGCAGTGGCTTCATAATACTCCTTTGGCAGCATCAAAAATCGCAGTTGAAGGCATGTTTCACGGACCACCCACCATTCTCCTTGTTTCTATGCCAATTGCGGTGTGGAACGTTTTGGCCGCCGAAGGAATTTGCTTGTTCTTGGGTTATATCAATTCTCACAACATGACAACGGATTATCAACATCTGATTGGAGCAATTTCCCCTGTCAGCAAGGCCGCAACATCCAAGGAATTAGAAGATGGTAAAATCCTACTTGAAGCTCGTGAGGCTGCAGCATCTACACCTTTGATGACAAGACATGAACCCGCTCAGCAAGAACCACCTAGACAACAAGAGATCGTTCATCAAACACCCTCTCGACCAGAACCTTTGAGACAAGATCCAATCAATTCTACTCCTCAATCAATCCCTCAAGTATTATATCCTGATACAGGTGCATCGAATCTCGTTGAGCATACAGATGACGTCGAAACCTCTGTCGAGATGCATGAAGCAGCCGAACAACTCAAGGCTTTGAGTCATGTACGGCATGTCAGTCATGATAATCTGACTCCAAATGACCGAAATCACTCGCACATAACGTCCGAAGATTCGCCGGGACTCAGAAGTGGTCGGGAAGAATCCGCTTCATCGCAAGACCAAGGTGAATCTGGAGCAGAAGATCAAATTTACAACTCAGAGTTCAATTCGCCTGCTTCCAGACCTAAACCCCGAAGATCATCACAAAAGCAAGGCCCTAAGCAAGACACTCGATGCTCAATGTGCAGTCATACCCCATTCAAAGATTCATCTTCCTTGCGAAAACATATTGCTGCTGCACATACAAGACCATTCCCATGCGCTTTCTCCTTTGCGGGATGCACAAGTACATTCGGCTCTAAGAACGAGTGGAAACGCCACATTGCTTCTCAACATCTTTGCTTGACGTATTATCGCTGTTCTTCTTGTCCCCCAGCCACTGCGGAAGGTAAAGGCAATGAATTTAATCGCAAGGATCTCTTTACCCAACATCTCCGACGCATGCATGCGCCCTTTGCTATCAAGAAGGCTCTTGCCAAAGGCGACTCCAAGCTTCAAGTAGAGTGGGAAACTCATGTCAAGGAAATGCAAGCTTCGTGTTTGGTAACTAGAAGGCAACCACCTCAAAGATCCGCATGCCCTAAAGCGGATTGCTCAAATTTGTTTGAGGGTGCGGGTAGTTGGGATGACTGGACTGAACATGTAGGTAGGCATATGGAAAAAGGAGAAGCAAATAGATTAGGTGTTGATAAGTTTTTGGCGAGATGGGCACTGGATGAAGCTATTATTGAACCTAAGGGAGATGGATCTAATGAATACAGGTTGTGTGGTACAGAGAGAGAAGGTGGTGGTATATTATCTGCTAATGGAAATGCAAGCGGTTACTATTCAGATGGTGGTGGAAAGAAGGAAATGGACGGCCCGAAAGATGGAATGGAAAGCCTCATGGGCTTGACAGGCGATAGTATGGTCATTGACGGTTGAGAAATCTGCAATTCAGAATTTTGGTCTGGATATGAGAATGCATGAGCAGAGGAACAAAAGGGTAATTTCTAAATTACATGTTCTGGGATGGGATGGGATGGGATTTTATGTTATCGTTGTCTGAAATCAGATCAAATTTTGGGGTGGTTGCTTGCTTTTGTTTGGTTAGCATTGAATTGTTCTGACTTCAAATCACGTTCTCTTGAATCATCTACATATATGTTTTACAGTACTTGGTGAATGGCGATATTGCACTGGTTATCTACCCTAATGTATAGATGGATGCGCGGATGCCCGGATGCCCGGATGGATAGAATCATGGATGTATGGATTTCAGATACAAATATCTTGATGCTTGGTACCTTCTTTCTTATCTTTGGTTGTATGCAATGCAAGCAAGGGCGAATGTATGGATGGATGGATGGATGGATGGAGTTTATGTGTTAGGAATTTGAAATGAAGTTTTTGTTTCTTTCTTTCTTTCTTTTGGATTTGGACCTGGACTGAGTGTTTAGTTCTCGGTTTCTGGCTAGCTTCACATATGATCTCATCTTATCCCAACTCCTCCCCTTGAAATTTCACATCTTCCTTTGCTTCGCGACGTCGTTAGCTTGGCTTTTATCCCCTAGATATCGCTCCTACCTGCTATTTGATGTTCATTTTAGTAGTATATTCTGTTCTATTACTCTACTCGAGTAGATTATATACTATTCTTCGATCTTTGTATATTATATAAGAGATCTCTTTCCTTGCATAATATCGATTCATGTTCTGAATATTAATTACAAGAAAGTTTTTGATGCATTGTGTGTGGTTGGTTTGGGTTTATCAAATTATTATATCGATAGCGTGGCAGTATTGCGTGAGAAATTGATAACGATATTGATTGTTGATCTGGTGCTTTTTCATCTATAGTATAGGCGTTATGAAATGAGTCCGCAGCCATAACCTTATCTACGAGCTTCAAGGAAGTCACTGCAAGTCAGTCCTAAATACTGCCCCTAGTAGTTGCAGTCTTTTTCAATGATGATAGTCACATCACATCACGGTCTAGGGCTTATATTATAATTAGTCTACTGTATAAGTTATATTCATTCCGCATAAAAGTGTTGCGGGTGGGCTTATTATTACTACTAGGATTCTCGGATCATTATTTCATGACAGGCTGGCTGGCTCCTTGAAAAGCTCACTCTTGGCAGTAGCTTGTCATGCTGATGTGCAAGGAACCTGTTTGGAGTGTACTCCGTAGGATGATACTATTATCCTTCTAGTCAGCCTTGTGGTGCATATTCAGTCATAGGATTTCTAGACACGTTGTTTTATGTCGTGCGGCGCAGCTTTGTCACTACTTCATGTGAAATGCCTGTTGCATCTGTTGCTGTCGTCTTGGCCAAATTATTCGAGTGAAAGTGAAAGGACATCCAACACTCCTCTTGCTGAAGGATCGTTAATAGGAAGATTAAATCTTCAATCGCCTAGATAGAGCAGTGCGAAGTGGTAAAAATATCCCTAGATACCTATGTGTATATCTTGGACTTTATGTTTCAACTTACGGAATACGCTGTGCAACCGCCATTCAGTGTTATTGAGAGCAGCGATATTCAGGCAGAGTCAATGACTTAGTACCGGTACATTATTTAATCCACCTATCTATCTCGAACACTCTTTATGGATGCAATACCATTCATTGTACATGCCATCACTGAATCGGGGTTCCATCAAACTTCATCACATAAATATGTCAAACATTACAGCCGCCGATATAGCAAACACCCTCACCTCTCTCTACGAATATGGCCACCACACCATACATAGCCATTGGAATTTTAACAACAGTCATAACAACCATTGCCGTCATTCTTCGTCTGTTTGCAAAGCGGGAATGTAAGACTAGCGTTGGAATTGACGATTGGTTCATTATGACAATAACAGCTCAAGTCCTCAAGTATCCGCAGCTGGGGATACAGAGTTGGAGTATGTATGTCGAGTTCTCGACCCTAATTTTTCGAGGGATCGGTTCTGTTATCCTGACTTCTGACTTGATGATTCATTAGGTATAATGAAAGGACATGAGGCGATCACTTGCTGCAGCGCGGTAAAAATTTTCTTCTTTTCATGAACTTTGTAATGGTGAGTAAGATAGATAGATATGCATCAATGAGGAAAAGATTTCTCCTCTAACTCTCTGTTCGAGTCCTCAAATTCTAAATATTACTATATCAATCAGTCCATTTATATCTATACCCTATCTATCACATTATCCGATTATCATAAGCATAAACCTTTCGATTTCATTCTACTCGAGTACCACAACCGCATTCTCGGCATCAATACTCATAGAACACTCAAGTGCCTTTTCACAGCAGTCATAGTACTCTATTTGCTCTATTCTATGTACTGTACAGCGAAGCATCCCCGGTTTTCTCATCGAGACAACCCCTTGCGAATCTCTGAATACATACCCCGTCGGACGATCTGCTCGCGCTACTAGATGAATCTGTATATTACAGCATATGTTTTACCGTATTCCTGAGCCTAGATTGGATTCTCGATGTTTTAGGCCGTGTCTTGCTGGTTTATGGATTTGTTGGGTTCGGTTGGTTATGCCGGAGGAAGTGGTTGATTTTGTGTATCTTTCTACTATGTGTATTGTATTTGTGAGTTAAACTTTATATTGAGACGTTGAGACGAGAGGAGCTCTGCTTTTGTTGTTGCATCGTGCGGAGATTTTATTTCATTTTGTTTCCTTCAAACTATGCTCTGTTTCTATCTTCTGTCTCTGGAATATCATCATTTCTCTCTCCATCTCTTTACTCGCAAAGTCGCGCTTCACATATCTATCTGCTGCTATATTAGACTTACAGTAATCACAGCATATTCGCCCTACACATCATCCGCAACATTCTTTCCGTCGAACCTTGTCCGCTACATAGTAAGTACCTAACTTCCCCCCATCACACTTTAACTTCCAAGATACGATGACATGCCACCACTTCATTCCTACTAATGCATATAAACACTCCCCAGTCGATCAATTCATGCATGTTATTACACGGCTAGATATCAAAGCCGGCATAGCAATTATAGGCGCATGTCTTCCTACATACTCAGTATAGCATTCTGATTAACAAAGAATTCCTTATTTTGAAAAGCTATGTTCGAAAATATTACGGCTCAGACAATAGTTCTAAGTCGGGGAATACTAATACTTCGAATGTGGAAGGTGGTGGTGAAGTGTATGGCGATGATAGGCTTATGGGCAGCGAAAAGAGAGAAAAAATAAGGATTGGATTTGTCTGATGATATGAGGGGTCGGCGTACAGTGTGTGTTATCTGAATTGAAGGGAAGTTGACTTGTAGCACTTTACGTGACTTTTGTAATATCTTGTCAAATTTTACATATTTTAGGAAACGCCTACTCAAAGTATAATTGGGATGATACAATGGCTAAGCGAGATATCGGCGTGGTCACGCTTCAAACAAATCTGCATTTATCGATCTGCATTCATCGATTCATTGTGTATATCGCATGTGAACACTGAAAAGTCTCATTCCGCATCGACTGCCTAATTCCCACAACCAACCACCGCGCCCCCTATTTCATCGCCCAACTTTCCTCAAAAGTCCTACGAAGCCATCCTAAATCCCATCTGCAAACCTAATCAAAGCCTCCGACAACTCATCCCTCTTCTCCAACGGAATCCAATGACCACACCCTTCGAATTTTTTGATTTCAAAATTTCGCAACCACTTCGAAGCCGTTTGATAAGCTATCTCCGCTCGAGTAATATAGTCTTCGTCGGAAACGATGATGAGCGCGGGTGCATTTTGCACTATGTGTTTTTCGGGAATATTGGCATCGTCTTCAACATTGAAGTCTCGGACTGTGGCTTTATACCTGAGTTGTGGGTTTAGGTGTGGGTTGATGATGTGTGATGGGATTGAGTATGGGATTGGTAAAGGGATGTTAGCAGGGGGGGACTTACCAATTTAATGGACCGGCAAACCCTCCTTTTTGGAAGATTTCGTTGTGGGTTGCTGCCTCGGACTTGGAAAGCCAGGTTGGGAGGGGGGATATGGTGTTGGATGTTATCCATGCTTTTGCGGCACCCAAGGGTCCCAAGTGCGTTTTCCAGGTGGAAGGGTCAGAGGGAAATATAAGGGATGTTGTGGACTCCATCTATGGTATTTCAATTAGTCATGTATGTTCTTCTATACGTGAATATCAGTCAGAATGTAATCATACATTACGACCCATGATCTCGTGGGCATCATCTTCATTAAAAAATTTCCAATATCCGAAGGTGGGATATCCAAAGGCTTGTTCGCTCATGGCATTTGCAGCGTCTGTGTGGACTCCGGTCAGCTTCACTCCATGTGCTTGAGAGCTCTGGAGGTTACTTGCCTAGATTAAATGGACCGGGTTCCATATAAGAAACCGATAGGAAGACTAATCCTGACAGTCTATCTTGGTAGTAGTTCGCTAGACCGGACAAGATTCCCACGCCCCTTTTCGACATGACATTAGTTCTACTCGATATGCAAGGACGTTCAAATCCGCTCGACGAGAAAACCCATCCAAAGAAAAGCGCAAAGAATCACAAACGAAGAAATGCCACCCACCAATCATGACCCACCCCAATAACCGTCCCCAACCCCTCATGATCTAAAATCTGCATCAAATCCCCCGCCATCTTCTTCTTCTTGTACCGTTCCAACTCTGTTGGTTTATCAGTATCGCCATAACCTAACAAATCCGGCACGATAACCCCGTATCCACGTTCTTTCAAGTACGGAATTTGATAACGCCAATCATAGCTCGAACTTGGAAAGCCGTGAAGGAGAAGAAAAGTGGGTTTGGAGGGAGCGGCTGCAATGTGAATATAAGCATATTTGATGCCATCCTCGAGTTCGAGGATTTTGCCCGGGACAGCAAGGTGTGTTAATGCCATTTTTTGGAAGAGTATGTTTTGATGGGAGATGAGTGATTTGTGAGAATGTTAAGGGAGGAGGTTAGTTAGATCTTGAGAGAGAATACGTTCTTGTTAGATGTGACATGTGCCCCACTCACACAGCGGGAAAGCGCGATACTCCGAATACATGCAGTAAGCAGTGTACACTGTATGTGAGTGGCGCACTCACCGCACGCATATGTTCCGAGGTCCCGAATGAGAGAAATGATTAATCATATTAATGTCTTGGGTTACATGTAGCTTCCCGTGACCGATCAATATCATTATTGGTGGATAGATCAAGCTGATTATTGTAACTTGTTAAGGCAGTATTTTTTAGGTGATTAGGATAGAATATGAAATATAGAATATCGATTAAAAATACCGTGGAATTTATCTGATATCTGCCAACATCCGCAAATACAACTGCTATGTTTAATCCCAAGTAGATTGGATGAAGTTCTTATTCCATCAAAATAATAAGAGCAAACAATTCCATATCACCAACAAATCATGACACCAATATGCTCCAAATTGCCAAGATGATCTAGACCACATGATCGCTTCATCATTTTTCATCTTTAGCTTTCGCATCTATATCGATATCTCCAGCAGGTCCCGCAAAATTCGCACGCCAGTGAACGCCAGTGATGAGTATTCATAAGATCTTTCTGATATAGCTTCACCCGAAAGAATTTATTATGCTCGTTATATTCGAAGTTTTTAGACCTGTTCACTGACTAGCTTACAGGCTTTTGCATATTGTTCCGAGTCGTCGTGAACATCAAGCCTACTAAAATAAATATGAATTGTTAATTACTTACGATTTTAACATCTGGTAATTGGATTTGATAAAGTGTTGCTCGGCGGTATTCTGGATGAAGTCTCCTGGAGAGCTCTTGTTGGGGATAAAGTAGTGTTTGGACTCGAGAGAACCGTGATTAACTTACTAGATGAATTGAGCCGTGTATGGTGTGGCGGGACTTGATGGGGCTTGAATCATCTCCTATGTCATGGGAGGTAGCGACAGAAGATGATCGATGGTAATCGGTCTAGGTCTTGAAGTTTGGTGAACTTTTGTTCGTGAAGAAGTCTCTAGGGACGAAAGGCCTCAGGAGAACCACAGCAGAAGATGGTGATCATATGGTAGTCTTGAGATAGTGATGTACAAATAGTGGGTTGACGAAGAGTAAAGGATGGATGCTTGGTTCTTGGTTCTTGGTTCGCGGTGGTTCAATGATGGGCTTTTGGAATGAAAGAAGACAGCCACATAGCGACTAACTAGAAAGAGATTCAAGAAGACGTTGGAGAGAACATTCATCAAAGAGAGTTTCAAGAGCTTGAAGCCCGATTACTCAAAGCTGATGAAGATGCAAGTGGCTCATTAGACGATGGAGGTACTGGACCTCACCTCACCACCATTCAACTCATACCATCTAGAAACAACACAACGCCCAACCATCCACATACGACCATAGACTGAAGAGAATTGGGCATCCCGTCCGCTCTGCCATACACAAGCTTCAGATCGGTGGATTAGTAGTTGGGTGGGTGACCACCAGCGAATCCCCACTGTTGTATGTTTCTTTTGAACATTTCGCCCTTAGACTTTTTGAACCTTTTGGGAGCGGAAGTGGAAGGTGTAACGGAGTGTACTTCAATGGGCCAAGCCTCCATATTGCAAGAGATCGCCTCTACGATATGCAATATCATCAAGCAATCAAGCTTTTGGACTTGGCCGCAAAAATTAACCTAGACGGTGGACTGTTTTGGACATTGAATCCTCTGTCGTCCTCAGCAAGAGGGACGTTCACTAGTCAGGCTCAAAAAGATGAGGTCTACCTCGTAGGAAACTGAAGAATGGAAGATAATAATGGCATAGACTTGGCCCAGACATGTCACCGCAAGAGAAGTCATCAAGCCACTTGACAAGAATCCATGAAATAAGAGCATGGATAGAGAGGGAGAGATTCAACCACCAAAATCACAATCTAAAGGCATCGGAATTTGAGAAAGAGGTTTAATCATCCTTCATACAGAGTTTTGAGATGAAGGAAGTTGAGAAGTTGTACTGTAAAATGATATTATATCTGTACCAAGACGAGAAAATTGTGATTAAATGTAGGTGTTGGATTAAAGATTTCAGAGGCATATCTTTATTGTAACCTCACTATTGTCACGTGAGAAAGATTATATGCTACCTCACTATTCAACGACCTATCATAAGATAAAATCACACCCAAAATCACAACGCGAAATCTTTCCCACTTCTTATGCTCTAGAGCACCCTAAGCAAACTTCTTCGGGCCTAACACATTACCTTATATAAAGTAAAGCCTTAATTAAGCCCAAAATGTATAAAATAATACAATTCAAAAAACAGTTCGCT